AGGTTGCTCTAATAGTGGCTTTTAGCTCTTCTGAATTGTTGGGTCTGGTGTATTGCATCTTCTTCTTCACAATACCCCATAGATTTTCTATGGGGTTAAGGTCAGGAGAGTTTGCTGGCCAATTAAGAACAGGGATACCATGGTCCTTCAACCAGGTACTGGTAGCTTTGGCACTGTGTGCAGGTGCCAAGTCCTGTTGGAAAATGAAATCTGCATCTCCAAAAAGTTGGTCAGCTGCAGGAAGCATGAAGTGCTCTAAAACTTCCTGGTATGTGGCTGCGTTGACCCTGGACCTCAGAAAACACAATGGACCAACACCAGCAGATGACATGGCACCCCAAACCATCACTGACTGTGGAAACTTTACACTGGACTTCAAGCAACGTGGATGAAGTGCCTCTCTTCTTTTCCTCCAGACTCTGGGACCTTGATTTCCAAAGGAAATGCAAAATTTACTTTCATCAGAGAACATGACTTTGGACCACTCACCAGCAGTCCAGTCCTGTTTCTCTTTAGCCCAGGCAAGACGCTTCTGACGCTGTCTGTGGTTCAAGAGTGGCTTGACACAAGGAATGCGACAGCAGAAACCCATGTCTTTCATACGTCTGTGTGTGGTGGTTCTTGAAGCACTCACTCCAGCTGCAGTCCACTCTTTGTGAATCTCCCCCACATTTTTGAAGGGGTTTTGTTTCACAATCCTCTCCAGGGTGCGGTTATCTCTCTTGCTTGTACACTTTTTTCGACCACATCTTTTCCTTCCCTTCGCCTCTCTATTAATGTGCTTGGACACTGAGCTCTGTGAACAGCCAGCCTCTTTAGCGATGACCTTTTGTGTCTTGCCCTCCTTGTGCAAGGTGTCGATGGTCGTCTTTTGGACAACTGTCAAGTCAGCAGTCTTCCCCATGATTGTGTAGCCTATAGAACTAGACTGAAAGACCATTTAAAGGCTTTTGCAGGTGGTTTGAGTTAATTAGCTGATTAGAGTGTGGCACCAGGGGCCATCAATTTTGAACCTTTTCACAATATTCTAATTTTCTGATATGATGAATTTGAGATTTTCATTTGTTGTCATTTGTAATCATCAAAATTAAACAAAATAAACATCTGAAATATATGAGTTTGTATGTAATGTATGAATATAATATACAAGTTTCACTTTTTAAATGGAATTACTGAAATCAATCTACTTTTTCATGATATTCTAATTTTATGACCAGCACCTGTATTTTCTTCCTGGGTGTTTCTCTGCAGGCGTGGTCGCCCTGCTGGTCGCGGCGGCGCTGTGCGTCATGGTGCTGGTCGTCCGCCACATGTTTCGTCACAAAGGTTCGTATCACACCAACGAGGCCAAAGGCGCCGAGTCGGCCAACTGCGCCGACGCCGCCATCATCGTCAACGACCCGGCGTTCACCGAAACCATCGACGAGAGCAAGAAGGAGTGGTTCATCTGATCAGCCTAGTTCTACAGCTTTGGGAGCATGCACACCCCCCCCCCCTCCTGCGGAGGAGCCTTTATTTCATGAACTGTGCGGAACAGACACTGGGGGGCGGAGTTACGGCACGAAGCAGACGCCGACCTTCATTCATCTGACGGGGCGGAGGAAGACGCTTCAGCGGACGGAGGGATCAAAGTGTCTTAGAGCATGTTTCTCATTTAGTTTCATCATTTTCTCTTTATTTATAACTTTATTTATTAAATGTTTGGCACTGATTGTATCCAGTTATTGTGCCACAAAGTCGTTTTTATAAGATCTATTCAAAGGAAATCTTTAGTTTTTTAGAGAACTTTAGGTTCAGGCCTGTATGTTGACATGATGAAGCCTGTCTACCTGCTGTACATCTAGCCTGCTGAGAAATACCGATTTAAAAATCTTCCTCTGCTGTTTGGTTTCATGCTTTTGTTCATAAAGGGTTCGTCTTTCTAAATGTTCTTAAGTTGCCAAACCTGGTTGAGCTTTGAGGCGGAATGCAGACGATCCGGATGCTTCTGCAGAACCTGGAAAGCTTCCCATCCTAGAACCGGACGTTTGGGTTTGTGCAGAGGAAGGTTCATTAGCCTCGTTTAGCTCCTGACATCTGATTGTATTTGACTTTGTATTCACTGATTGTGTTGCTGTGCAATAGTTGCCGTTTCTCATCGTTTTCTTCATGTTCTGTGGATAAAAAAAGAAAAAAAACGTCCAGAAGCTGCCTGGAAATGAGCTTTTCTGGCTTCCTTGTTTTTTTTACTGTTTAACTACTCAGAGGTAATCAGATTACTGCAGCAGAGTACGCTACAATCTGGACACCTTCTATTCAGTTTATTTCTATAGCTCCAATTCACAGCAGGTCATCTCAGGTCACTTTATAGATCCAGATCAACCAGATCATCCAGTCAGATTGATTCAAAGTTTTCTATCTAAGGAAAACCAGCTGATTGCATCGACTCATTGACTCTTCAGCAATCCCTCACACTAAGCATGCTTGTAGCGACAGTGGAGAGGAAAAACTCCCTTTGAACAGGAAGAAACCTCCAGCAGAACCAGGCTCAGTGTGAGCGGCCATCTGCTGAGGCCCACTGGGGTTCAAGGAGACAGAAGCAGACATAGAAAAAGCAGCAGAGAAGCGCTGATCTATATATACTTTCTATGCTAGCTGCTCAGTCAGTTGCAGAAGAACAAAATAGCACAGCAGTTCATGAAGAAGTGAGATTAAAATTCAGTTTTATTGCTTAGTGACTGGAGTTACTGTCCGTGTTCAGATTCCATGAACCTCCAATGCAGCGATAGAGTTGATTCCTTCCTGCTATCATCACAGCTCCACCCCCTTTACAGGCGAACAGAAGACCTCACCTGTTCAGCCAGGCTAACTATTCCCTCTAACGCCCCCCCTTTCAGAGACATAGACAGGTATGGGGCATTGCAGGCTAACAAAGAAGCTAAACGACCCCCATTCCAAAGGGGGGGACCCGTTCATCCGTTTCTATTTGCATGTTTTCTAAACTAAAACCAGGCTTTGTTGGGCTGCTGGATAAAACCTGGAACTAAACGCTATTTCTGACATTTTGGATTGAAAAATCTTCCTGGATGGAAGAGAAACGTCTTTAAACTTGGAAACAAAGTCCAGAGGATTGATTTGAACTTTTTTATAAGAGCTCTACTTGCAAAGCATCATGGGATTGGCTTTTTAACGGGCCGAAAAGCACAAAGACGACGCAGGCGGCGCTCTTATTGAAAGTCAATGGGGCTGATTTCCTGCAGGGGGCAGCGTAGCTCCGACTGATCTCAGGTCTATTTTAGTCAGACTAAAGTTCAGCAGTTATTTCATAACAGGAAGAGAGACGTGGTTAAAAGTTAAACATCTGCTTTGGGGGGAAATACAAAATAAAATCTGTTAATCTGACAGAGAAAGAGTCAGTTTGGAGTCCCGCCCCCTGCAGGAAACCCCCCCCCCACTGACTTTCAATCCGTGCTAAACGCCGCCACCTCTGATTTTCAGTCGGATTGGATGTAGAATCGGATTCAGTGTTTCTGGACTTTAAGGAAGAACTCCTCTTAGTAAATCTGATCACAGTCTGACTTTATCTGCCTTTTCATAAAAGAGCCTGAATGACAGAAGATGGTCACAGGAAGCTGAAGAAGCCCTGAAGTTCAGAGTCTGACCCTGGAAACGGTTCCAGTGACGGAGAGAAAACCTCCGGCCTTCTTCCAGGACTAAAGAAGATTCAGCCAGCAGTCATTTTCAAAGATAAACAGCATCCAATAAATAAATTATCACCTAAAGTATAAACTGAGGCCTTAAAGGAATAGTACACCCAAAACATGATTAGCCTTCATTTTCTACTCACCCCCATGCTGAACAACACTCTGGAGTACTTTTTTGATATCTCAAATGCATCTGGAGATCTGGGAGGCTTCTTGCTGTCTGCTGACATTCAAATAATGGAGGTCTATGGCGCCCGAGGCAGAAAGGTTCATAAAAGTCCACAAAAAACGTGTCAATATTCCTCCATACTGCTCGTCCAATGTAATCCAAGTGTCCTGAGTGGGTAGCGTCCATAATTTACTTGAAACGAAGTCATTTAGAATGTTTTTAGAGCATAAACAGTAGTGTATAGGATTTCCTAAAAGCGCGTTCACGAGTCTACGGAAACCGGCAGACCAAACCAGATGAAAGTGCGCATTCAGCGCCTGCTCTGCCGATAATGCAAGCGTAGAAGAAGAAATGTGCTGTTTACCTGTGCAAAGAAAGAAACAACGAAAGAAAAATGTCTGAGGACTTCAGTGTTGAGGAAGAGCATGAGTTCTTTGCCGAGCTGAATGCGCACTTTCATCTGGTTTGGTCTGCCGCGGTTTCCGTAGACTCGTGAACGCGCTTTCAGGAAATCCTATACACTACTGTTTATGCTCTAAAAACATTCTAAATGACTTCGTCTCGAGTAAATTCTGGACGCTACCCACTCAGGACACTTGGATTACATTGGACGAGCAGTATGGAGGAATATTGACACGTTTTTTGTGGACTTTTATGAACCTTTCTGCCTCGGGCGCCATAGACCTCCATTATTTGAATGTCAGCAGACAGCAAGAAGCCTCCCAGATCTCCAGATGCATTTGAGATATCAAAAAAGTACTCCAGGGTGTTGTTCAGCATGGGGGTGAGTAGAAAATGAAGGCTAATCATGTTTTGGGTGTACTATTCCTTTAAGCTTCAATCCTATCTTGGGCTTCATGTTCTGACTTAATGAGGAACCTGGTTCCCTGCGTTCATCAGGCATGATGGCCGTTCTCTGAGCCGCCAGCAGAGGGCGGAGCAACACCAGGCGGAACAGAAGACCCTGAACTGGAACCGAAACCTTTTCCAGTTCTAGAGGCAAACCATTCAAGACAAACGGGCCGAGGAACGTCTGCAGCGACAGCAGTGAAGATGAACAGCATTCATTCATTCGTTCACTCATTCACTCATTTGTTAGTTTTTTCCTCTAGAGATAAAAAAAACAAAACATTTTATATAAACGACGATTAAAATTCAATCAAATAAAGATTTATTTTAATATTAACCTTATTAAAAAACTTTAATGTGTTTAAATGTATAAAAAACAGCAACATTAAAACTCAACGATCTAAAACGGTTCCTGGAAAGTAAACGAGCTAAAACTGCGCTAGGCGTCGGGCACCATCCAGTGGCCAAAGTAAGCGGTGACGGTCTTCAGCTTGTTGTTCAGGAAGTTCTGCTCCACCTCCACCTTCCCTCCGGGACCCGCCAGCGCCGCCACCTGTAGGGGAGGAGATGCAGGTGCACAGGTTAGCGGCGGACGCTGCTGTGGCAGCTTTCAGGTGAACAGGCGCTACCTGGTTGACGTCTGCGTTGCGAGGCAGGAAATAAACGATGTTTTCTGAGATGCGTTTGGCTCGGCTGAAGATCTGGAAGGTGCGGCTGGTTAAGGAGGAAACTAATCCCGTCGTCAGGAGCAACAATTCAATTCAATTCAATTCAGTTTATTTATATAGCGCCAAATTCACAACACATGTCATCTCAAGGCACTTTACAGTTCAACCAGATCAAATTGATACAAAGTTTTCTATCTAAGGAAAACCAGTTGATTGCATTGACTCATTGACTCAAATACAATCCCCCACACTAAGCATGCTTGTAGCGACAGTGGAGAGGAAAAACTCCCTTTTAACAGGAAGAAACCTCCAGCAGAACCAGGCTCAGTGTGAGCGGCCATCTGCCGAGGCCGACTGGGGTTCAAGGAGACAGAAGCAGAGATACAAAAAGCAGCTGTAAAAGGCGGCCCCGTCCAGGAAACACACAGCCAGGCAGACGAGCTCCAAGGCAGCTCCCATGCCAGAGGACGAAGAAAGCACATCCACTCAGTCACGGTCAGAGAAACAGGACCACACTGGAAAACAGGCCGATCTCCAACATCTATAAACAAGGGTGTTGATAGAAGCAGCACAGCTGATGTTTCTTTCCAGGATGACGTCACAGCCAAACAGGAACAGACGAGGCAAAGCTACTCTGAGGAAAAGCAGAGAGAGCAGAAGGTTAGAGATTGAACTAACAGATTCTGCAGAATAGGAGAACAGAGAGAGAATGAAGCAGAATGATGAAATGGGGGTCCCTATGTCCTCCAAAAGTCTAAGCCTATAGCAGCATAACTATAGAGATAGCTCAGGATAACCTGAGCCACTCTAACTATAAGCTTTATCAAAAAGGAAAGTTTTAAGCCTAGCCTTAAAAGTAGACAGGGTGTCTGCCTCACGGACTAAAACTGGTAGTTGGTTCCACAGGAGAGGAGCCTGATAACTAAAAGATCTGCCTCCCATTCTACTTTTAGAAATTCTAGGAACCACTAGTAAACCTGCAGATTGAGAGCGAAGTGCTCTGTTAGGAACATAAGGAACAATCAGATCTCTGATATAAGATGGAGCTTGGCCATTTAAGGCTTTATATGTGAGAAGGAGGATTTTAAATTCTATTCTTGATTTAACAGGAAGCCAATGAAGAGAAGCCAGGACAGGCGAGATATGATCTCTCTTTTTAATTTTCATTAGAACTCTGGCTGCAGCATTTTGGATCAGCTGAAGGCTTTTAACTACAGTTTGTGGACTTCCTGATAGTAAAGAATTACAATAGTCCAGCCTTGAAGTAACAAATGCATGGACTAGTTTCTCAGCATCACCCCTGGACAGGATATTTCTAATTTTTGCAATGTTCCTCAGATGAAAGAAGGAAATTCTAGAAACCTCTTTGATGTGGGATTTAAATGACAGGTCCTGATCAAAAACAACACCAAGATTTTTTACTTTATTATCTGAAATCAGTTTAATCCCATCCAAATGAAGTGACTGGCTAATCAGTTTCTTTTTCAGAGACTCTGGTCCAAAGACTATAACTTCTGTTTTGTCTGCATTCAGAAGCAGAAAGTTAAGAGTCATCCAGGTTTTTATGTCTTCAAGACATGCCTGTAATCTATGTAATGGGTTAGCTTCATCTGGATTTATAGACAGATATAGCTGGGTATCATCAGCATAACAGTGGAAATTAATCCCATGCTGTCTAATAATTCTACCAATTGGGAGCATGTATAAAGTAAAGAGAATTGGTCCTAGCACTGATCCCTGTGGTACTCCACAGGTAACCTTTGAGCGTGTTGAAGATCTATCATTAACATGAACAAACTGAATTCGATCAGATAGATAAGATTTAAACCAGTCTAGTGCTGTTCCTTTAATTCCAACAAAATATTCAAGTCTTTCTAAAAGAATATTATGGTCAACTGTATCAAATGCAGCACTAAGATCCAACAGGACGAGCACAGATACAAGTCCATTATCTGAGGCCATGAGAATATCATTAGTGACTTTCACCAGAGCTGTTTCAGTGCTATGATGAGCTCTAAAGCCAGACTGAAACTCTTCAAAAAGTTCATTATGGTGGAAGTGATCGCAAACTTGTTTGGCAACTACTTTCTCAAGAATTTTGGATAAGAAAGGAAGATTGGATATAGGTCTATAATTGACCAAGTCATCTGGGTCAAGAGACGGTTTCTTAAGCAGAGGTTTAATTACAGCAACCTTAAAAGCTTTAGGTACATATCCCTGTAACAGAGATAGATTAATCACATCTAAAATGGAGGAGGAGATCAAAGGGAATACCTCCTTAAATAACCTGGTTGGAACTGGATCTAACATACAAGTTGAAGGCTTAGATGAAGACAATAATTTTGCTAATTCAGAGAGTTCAACTGGATCAAAGCAGTCTAAACCCAGTTCAGATTCCATGACTACCTCAGGTACAATCGCGGATAGAGGAGTGCTTATGATCTTATTTTTAATAAGATCAATCTTATTTATAAAGAATCCCATAAAGTCATTGCTGCTAAGAGCAGGTGGAATGGACGGTTCAACAGAGCTATGGCTCTGGGTGAGTTTGGCAACTGTATTAAAAAGAAATCTAGGATTATTCTTATTCTCCTCTATTAATGAGGAGAAGTATGCTGCTCTTGCTTTACAAAGGGTCCTCTTATACAGCAGTAAACCATTTTTCCAGACTAGGAAGGACTCTCGCAGGCCTGTGGAGCGATATTTTCTCTCCAGTTTCCTAGCATTTTGCTTCAAAGTACGCAGCTCTGCATTAAACCAAGGAGCAAGCTTTCTATTTTTAACGGTTTTCATTTTCAAAGGAGCTGCGTTGTCTAAGGCAATACGCAGAGAACTAGCAACCCCATCAACAAAATCATCAACCTGTGAAGGGGAATAAGCTAAACTTTTGCACTCTGCAGCACTGCTCAGTGACACAGAGGAGAGAGAAAGTGAAGCAGATTCTTTAAAATTTATAACTGCACTATCTGATAAAGATCTACTAAAATTGAACCTTCTTTTGGGGGAGGAGAACTCTGTTAAAGTAATCCTGAAGGTTATTAGAAAGTGGTCAGAGAGGACAGGGTTGTGAGGAAATACTGTTATTTCTTCACATTCTATGCCGTATGTCAGCACAAGATCCAAAGTATGAAGATGAGAATGCGTGGGACTATTCACATTTTGAACAAAGCCAATAGTGTCTAAGATAGCATTAAAGGCTGCTCTTAAGCTATCGCCTTCAATGTCAGCATGGATGTTAAAATCTCCCACTATGATGACCCTGTCAGTATTTAATACCAAATCAGAAAGGAACTCTGAAAACTCATCTAAAAATTCAGAGTAAGGACCTGGTGGACGATACAAAGTTACAAAAAGAAGAGGTTTTCTTGCCTTGAAATTTGGATCAGGGAAATTAAGGGTTAAATGTTCAAAAGAGTTGTAGGTATTAACTGTTTTGGGAGTAATCAGTAAGTCAGACTGGAAGATTGTTGCTACTCCTCCTCCTCGCCCAGAACTTCTGGGGATGTGAAAATTTAAATAGCTTGAAGGAGTTGCCTCATTTATGCTCACATAATCCTCTTGCTGCAGCCAGGTTTCTGTAAGGCAAAACAAGTCAATGTGATTATCACAAATCAAGTCATTAACTAGTCAAGTCATTAGCAACAGACTTTCTAACATAGAAGGATATCCATCGGGCTCCATCATGGTCCTCAGGTCAAACACATCTGCATTCAGATAATCCGGCCCCCCCCACGGCGGGGACAGGAAGACCACGTCCCCACGCAGAGTGGGCGCCAGCTCCAGGAAGTCTCCTTGCAGGAAGTCGATCCTCTCGGCGACGTCATAGACGGCGGCGTTGTGTCGAGCCATGTCCAGCCGATCCGCATCGATGTCGACGGCCAAGACTGGAGGAGCAACAAACATGAAACACTTTATAATGGTTAAACGAGCTACGCTAATGCTAGCTACCACAACGCCTAAGGCTTCAAGCTAGCCCGTTTCTGGCTCATGCCAACTATGAATTACCATGGTAACGCCTGAGATCATTTCAAAATAAGAGCAGAAATTTTAATTCATCTCTTAATTTCACTTTTTTTAATATTTGACTTAAAGTTGATTGATTGGCTTTATTGATCTCAGAGTGGAGAAATCTACACGTCACATCGGCTCAAATGTCCAAAGAAGCCGCCCGGGACCGGTGGCCGCAGAGACCATGAGAAGTTTGTTAAGAAGTTGCGAGATGTGGAAGTTGGAAGCTGTTGTGACTGGATTAGATGAAACTTTTGGGAAATATTGCGTCGATCATTTCTCAGCTCAGAGTGACGGGAGAGAAATCTGGAGGGAATCTTTTATTCAAGGGGGAAAATCTCCTGATAATCTGGAGGCCATTCATTAAATAACACATTTAAAATAACTAGTTAGCAGGAGGAACATGGGATTATCCTCCATCAGCAGGAGAAACATGGGATTATCCTCCATCAGCAGGAGAAACATGGGATTATCCTCCATCAGCAGGAGAAACATGGGATTATCCCCCATCAGCAGGAGAAACATGGGATTATCCTCCATCAGCAGGAGGAACATGGGATTATCCTCCATCAGCAGGAGGAACATGGGATTATCCCCCATCAGCAGGAGAAACATGGGATTATCCTCCATCAGCAGGAGGAACATGGGATTATCCTCCATCAGCAGGAGAAACATGGGATTATCCCCCATCAGCAGGAGAAACATGGGATTATCCCCCATCAGCAGGAGAAACATGGGATTATCCTCCATCAGCAGGAGGAACATGGGATTATCCTCCATCAGCAGGAGAAACATGGGATTATCCCATCCATTAGCAGGAGGAACATGGGATTATCCTCTATCAGCAGGAGAAACATGGGATTATCCTCCATTAGCAGGAGGAACATGGGATTATCCTCTATCAGCAGGAGAAACATGGGATTATCCTCCATCAGCAGGAGAAACATGGGATTATCCTCCATCAGCAGGAGAAACATGGGATTATCCTCCATCAGCAGGAGAAACATGGGATTATCCTCCATCAGCAGGAGAAACATGGGATTATCCCCCATCAGCAGGAGAAACATGGGATTATCATCCATCAGCAGGAGAAACATGGGATTATCCCCCATCAGCAGGAGAAACATGGGATTATCCTCCATCAGCAGGAGAAACATGGGATTATCCCCTCCATTAGCAGGAGAAACATGGGATTATCCCCTCTATTAGCAGGAGGAACATGGGATTATCCTCCATCAGCAGGAGAAACATGGGATTATCCTCCATTAGCAGGAGAAACATGGGATTATCCTCCATCAGCAGGAGAAACATGGGATTATCCTCCATCAGCAGGAGAAACATGGGATTATCCTCCATCAGCAGGAGAAACATGGGATTATCCCCTCCATTAGCAGGAGGAACATGGGATTATCCTCCATTAGCAGGAGAAACATGGGATTATCCTCCATCAGCAGGAGAAACATGGGATTATCCTCCATCAGCAGGAGAAACATGGGATTATCCTCCATTAGCAGGAGGAACATGGGATTATCCTCCATCATTAGCAGGAACATGGGATTATCCTCCATCAGCAGGAGAAACATGGGATTATCCTCCATCAGCAGGAGAAACATGGGATTATCCTCCATCAGCAGGAGGAACATGGGATTATCCTCCATCAGCAGGAGGAACATGGGATTATCGTCCATCAGCAGGAGAAACATGGGATTATCCCCCATCAGCAGGAGAAACATGGGATTATCCTCCATCAGCAGGAGAAACATGGGATTATCCCCCATCAGCAGGAGAAACATGGGATTATCCTCCATCAGCAGGAGAAACATGGGATTATCCCCTCCATTAGCAGGAGAAACATGGGATTATCCCCTCCATTAGCAGGAGGAACATGGGATTATCCTCCATCAGCAGGAGAAACATGGGATTATCCTCCATTAGCAGGAGAAACATGGGATTATCCTCCATCAGCAGGAGAAACATGGGATTATCCTCCATCAGCAGGAGAAACATGGGATTATCCTCCATCAGCAGGAGAAACATGGGATTATCCCCTCCATTAGCAGGAGGAACATGGGATTATCCTCCATTAGCAGGAGAAACATGGGATTATCCTCCATCAGCAGGAGAAACATGGGATTATCCTCCATCAGCAGGAGAAACATGGGATTATCCTCCATTAGCAGGAGGAACATGGGATTATCCTCCATCATTAGCAGGAACATGGGATTATCCTCCATCAGCAGGAGAAACATGGGATTATCCTCCATCAGCAGGAGAAACATGGGATTATCCTCCATCAGCAGGAGGAACATGGGATTATCCTCCATCAGCAGGAGGAACATGGGATTATCGTCCATCAGCAGGAGAAACATGGGATTATCCTCCATCAGCAGGAGAAACATGGGATTATCCTCCATTAGCAGGAGGAACATGGGATTATCCTCCATCATTAGGAGGAACATGGGATTATCCTCCATCAGCAGGAGAAACATGGGATTATCCTCCATCAGCAGGAGGAACATGGGATTATCCTCCATCAGCAGGAGGAACATGGGATTATCGTCCATCAGCAGGAGAAACATGGGATTATCCTCCATCAGCAGGAGAAACATGGGATTATCCCCTCCATTAGCAGGAGGAACATGGGATTATCCTCCATCAGCAGGAGGAACATGGGATTATCCTCCATCAGCAGGAGAAACATGGGATTATCGTCCATCAGCAGGAGAAACATGGGATTATCCTCCATCAGCAGGAGAAACATGGGATTATCCTCCATTAGCAGGAGGAACATGGGATTATCCTCCATCATTAGGAGGAACATGGGATTATCCTCCATCAGCAGGAGAAACATGGGATTATCCTCCATTAGCAGGAGGAACATGGGATTATCCTCCATCATTAGGAGGAACATGGGATTATCCTCCATCAGCAGGAGAAACATGGGATTATCCTCCATCAGCAGGAGGAACATGGGATTATCCTCCATCAGCAGGAGGAACATGGGATTATCGTCCATCAGCAGGAGAAACATGGGATTATCCTCCATTAGCAGGAGGAACATGGGATTATCCTCCATCAGCAGGAGGAACATGGGATTATCCTCCATCAGCAGGAGAAACATGGGATTATCCTCCATCAGCAGGAGAAACATGGGATTATCCTCCATCAGCAGGAGGAACATGGGATTATCGTCCATCAGCAGGAGGAACATGGGATTATCGTCCATCAGCAGGAGAAACATGGGATTATCCTCCATTAGCAGGAGGAACATGGGATTATCCTCCATCAGCAGGAGGAACATGGGATTATCCTCCATCAGCAGGAGGAACATGGGATTATCGTCCATCAGCAGGAGAAACATGGGATTATCCTCCATCAGCAGGAGAAACATGGGATTATCCCCTCCATTAGCAGGAGGAACATGGGATTATCCTCCATCAGCAGGAGGAACATGGGATTATCCTCCATCAGCAGGAGAAACATGGGATTATCGTCCATCAGCAGGAGAAACATGGGATTATCCTCCATCAGCAGGAGAAACATGGGATTATCCTCCATTAGCAGGAGGAACATGGGATTATCCTCCATCATTAGGAGGAACATGGGATTATCCTCCATTAGCAGGAGGAACATGGGATTATCCTCCATCAGCAGGAGGAACATGGGATTATCCTCCATCAGCAGGAGGAACATGGGATTATCGTCCATCAGCAGGAGAAACATGGGATTATCCTCCATTAGCAGGAGGAACATGGGATTATCCTCCATCAGCAGGAGAAACATGGGATTATCCTCCATCAGCAGGAGGAACATGGGATTATCCTCCATCAGCAGGAGGAACATGGGATTATCGTCCATCAGCAGGAGAAACATGGGATTATCCTCCATCAGCAGGAGAAACATGGGATTATCCTCCATCAGCAGGAGGAACATGGGATTATCCTCCATCAGCAGGAGGAACATGGGATTATCCTCCATCAGCAGGAGAAACATGGGATTATCCTCCATTAGCAGGAGGAACATGGGATTATCCTCCATCAGCAGGAGGAACATGGGATTATCCTCCATTAGCAGGAGGAACATGGGATTATCCTCCATCAGCAGGAGGAACATGGGATTATCCTCCATCAGCAGGAGAAACATGGGATTATCCTCCATCAGCAGGAGAAACATGGGATTATCCTCCATCAGCAGGAGGAACATGGGATTATCCTCCATCAGCAGGAGGAACATGGGATTATCGTCCATCAGCAGGAGAAGGCTCCTCCCGCTGCAGGCAGGCTTACCTCTCTTCCCAGTCAGGGCGAACTGGATGGCGTTTCCTCCCACGCCGCAGAAGGCGTCTATAACCAGCTGCGCGTCGGGGAAGCTCTGCTCCAATCGGATGGCGATGTGCTCAGCAATCTTCTCCGGCGTCACAGAGAACCAGCCCTCTGCAGCACAGAGGAGACATCATGAAGCCCACAGACCAGCATCATCGGCCGACAGAGCGGCCATCTTGGGTCAGACCAAGCTGCTGTCAGAGACAATGGATGCTAAACCTAATTTCTGACTGTAGACGCTCTGAAAGCGCTGAAGCTTTAACTGATTTCCAGATGAATTAATCTGACTGAAAACGAAGATGTTTCCCAGGTTTTATGGGATTAACTGATTGATCTGATTTATGTTTCGATGCATCATTTGGATTTTTGTTCTGACTGTTAGCAATGGGAGAATTCTCCTGCCATAATGCCAGAGCACATCATTTCAATCTGAGGAAAGAATTTCATCTTCTCGCACTCCAAACATGAGAAAATATCATGAGAGAGGAGAAACATGAGAGAGGAGAAAATATCTGAGAGGGAGCGCATGTTTTTGAGAGTGAGCGTTATAAGTTTGGAGAGCAAGAAGATGAAATTCTTTCCTCAGATTGAAATGATGTGCTCTGGCATTATGGCAGGAGAATTCTCCCATAGTTAGCAAACATACACACACACACACACACACACATATATATATATATATATGCTAGATAGTAGAAAGTTAGAACGAATTCTAACTCTTTCAGCTCTACATTCTAGCTTCAGCAGTCGATCCAACCACATAGCACAGCTGTCCTAGATGCGCTCACCCACCTCGGTCCAGCCAGATGCCCTCATCAAAGCGGGAAAACAGTCTGTAGCGCTGAGCCCAGTATTTAGCCAGTTCTGGATCGGCCGCCATCTCTGCCGGGACCTTCTGCTTCCTCCTCCTCTGCTTCTTTCTGGCCTTCCTGGCAGGTTTTACCGCCGACCCTGCATAGAGACACAACCGATGGTCAGGCTGGAACCCAGAAATATGAGCATTCGGCTCACTGCTGTCACTCAACAACCAAACCAGGACATTAAATATTTAAGGAAGTTCTAGCTTTTTATTAATGAACAGCATCAATAGAAACTCCTGTCAGGAAACAAAGTCTCTAGAAAACAGCCTTTAAAAGTCAGTTTCTTCTTTTTAAACTCAGATAAAATAACTGAAACTTTTCTGACAGAGATTATTAAAATGATCGACCTTCTAGGGAACGAGCGTTCATCCAGATAATTTAGTAACCTCCCATTTTAATGTGAAATACAGGAAACATCCGGAGGAGGCAGATATAATCTGAACTGGGAGATTATGGGAGGAGGGTGAAGAGGAGGCGGAGCCAGCGCGTCTGAGGGCAGGAAGGCAGATTTACCGCCTGTAATCAGTCAGAAATCTAAGAAGCTGCTGAACTCTGCTGCTAAGTGCAGTAGTGGCTGTTTTTTGGACAACAGGCTGACAGGAAGTCCAGTTGTCCTCCCTCTGCTGTCCTTCCCCTGCCGTCCTGCCGTCCTTCCCCTGCCGTCCTTCCCCTGCCGTCCTGCCGTCCTTCCCCTGCCGTCCTTCCTCTGCCGTCCTGCCGTCCTTCCCCTGCTGTCCTTCCCCTGCCGTCCTCCCTCTGCCTTCCTTCCTCCTTCGTCCTGCCGTCCTTCCCCTGCCGTCCTGCCGTCCTTCCCCTGCCTTCCTTCCTCCTTCGTCCTGCCGTCCTTCCCCTGCTGTCCTTCCCCTGCCGTCCTCCCTCTGCCTTCCTTCCTCCTTCGTCCTGCCGTCCTTCCCCTGCTGTCCTGCCGTCCTTCCCCTGCCGTCCTCCCTCTGCCTTCCTTCCTCCTTCGTCCTGCCGTCCTTCCCCTGCCGTCCTTCCCCTGCCGTCCTCCCTCTGCCTTCCTTCCTCCTTCGTCCTGCCGTCCTTCCCCTGCTGTCCTTCCCCTGCCGTCCTTCCCCTGCTGTCCTTCCCCTGCCGTCCTCCCTCTGCCTTCCTTCCTCCTTCGTCCTGCCGTCCTTCCCCTGCTGTCCTGCCGTCCTTCCCCTGCCGTCCTCCCTCTGCCTTCCTTCCTCCTTCGTCCTGCCGTCCTTCCCCTGCTGTCCTGCTGTCCTTCCCCTGCCGTCCTCCCTCTGCCTTCCTTCCTCCTTCGTCCTGCCGTCCTTCCCCTGCCGTCCTTCCCCTGCCGTCCTCCCTCTGCCTTCCTTCCTCCTTCGTCCTGCCGTCCTTCCTCTGCCTTCCTTCCGTCCTTCCTCTGGGAACATCATGGAGGGAAACAGAGTCTCCATCCATGGTTGTCCTGGTCGGTGTCCCACCAAGGATGCAGGGAGATCAGAGACGGCGGTCCTGCCAGCGTGTAGCTGAGGACGGTCGGTGTCCTCAGAGCAGCTCCCAGGAGTGATGGAGCGGTGGACGGATGGATGTCCAACCTGCTGGTGAGCTGGGAATGATGGCCGCTTGGCTGACAGCAGGACTGACTGTGAGCCTGGATGCAGTGCTGAAAACCACCACTAGGTTTGCTCTTTCTGCCGATGCTTTCTTCCTCCAGAGGTTCAAACGTCCATTCAGCGCCACATGTCAGGGTCAGCGGAGCGGTGACATCATTTCCTTCCACCGTGGTCCATCATTAGCTCCTTCTGCGTCTGAATGCGGCTAGCTCAGCGGCAGAGCTAACAGGTCGCCGCGTTTATTTAGCATTTTTTAATTATTAGAATTAGGAATATTTGCATGAAAAGGAACAGAAATAAACTGAAGAATAATAACAACACTGGAATAAAAGCTTTACCTTCAGGCGTGTTTGATGGAAACAGGTTCACTTCCTCTGGAGATGCTGCCGACCCTCCAGGCTCCTCCTCCTCCACCACGGGCTCCTCCTCCTCCACCACAGGCTCCTCCTCCTCCACCACAGGCTCCTCCTCCTCCTCCACCACAGGCTCCTCCTCCTCACAGGAAGGGTTGGTTTCTCTTCTAATCCTCTTGATTTCCGCCTCCAGACCTTCCCGCCGTGTTTCTCTCGCCACGTTTTGAAGAAAGTCTTTAGCCTAAAACGAAATGCATCCATGAATTCAGCAGGCCTACCAGCAGGTCTACCAGCAGGTCTACCAGCAGGTCTACCAGCAGGTCTACCAGCAGGCCTACCAGCAGGTACACCAGCAGGTCTACCAGCAGGCCTACCAGCAGGTCTACCAGAAGGTCTACCAGCAGGTCTACCAGCAGGCCTACCAGCAGGTCTACCAGCAGGTATACCAGCAGGCCTACCAGCAAGCCTACCAGCAGGTCTACCAGCAAGCCTACCAGCAGGTCTACCAGCAGGTCTACCAGCAGGTATACCAGCAGGCCTACCAGCAGGTCTACCAGCAGGTCTACCAGAAGGTCTACCAGCAGGTCTACCAGCAGGCCTACCAGCAGGTCTACCAGCAGGTATACCAGCAGGCCTACCAGTAGGTATACCAGCAGGCCTACCAGCAGGTATACCAGCAAGCATACCAGCAGGTACACCAGCAGGCCTACCAGCAGGTCTACCAGCAGGCCTACCAGCAGGTCTACCAGCAGGTCTACCAGCAGGTATACCAGCAGGTATACCAGCAGGCCTACCAGCAGGTATACCAGCAGGTACACCAGCAGGCCTACCAGCAGGTCTACCAGCAGGTACACCAGCAGGCCTACCAGCAGGTCTACCAGCAGGTCTACCAGCAGGTATACCAGCAGGCCTACCAGCAGGTATACCAGCAGGTCTACCAGCAGGTCTACCAGCAGGCCTACCAGCAGGTACACCAGCAGGTCTACCAGCAGGTCTACCAGCAGGTCTACCAGCAGGCCTACCAGCAGGCCTACCAGCAGGTCTACCAGCAGGTATACCAGCAGGCCTACCAGCAGGTCTACCAGCAGGTATACCAGCAGGTCTACCAGCAGGCCTACCAGCAGGCCTACCAGCAGGTACACCAGCAGGCCTACCAGCAGGTATACCAGCAGGTATACCAGCAGGTCTACCAGCAGGTCTACCAGCAGGTCTACCAGCAGGCCTACCAGCAGGTCTACCAGCAGGTCTACCAGCAGGTATACCAGCAGGCCTACCAGCAGGTCTACCAGCAGGTCTACCAGCAGGCCTACCAGCAGGCCTACCAGCAGGTACACCAGCAGGCCTACCAGCAGGCCTACCAGCAGGTATACCAGCAGGCCTACCAGCAGGTACACCAGCAGGCCTACCAGCAGGTCTACCAGCAGGTCTACCAGCAGGTATACCAGCAGGCCTACCAGCAGGTCTACCAGCAGGTCTACCAGCAGGTCTACCAGCAGGTCTACCAGCAGGTATACCAGCAGGCCTACCAGCAGGTCTACCAGCAGGTCTACCAGCAGGTCTACCAGCAGGTACACCAGCAGGCCTACCAGCAGGCCTACCAGCAGGTATACCAGCAGGCCTACCAGCAGGTCTACCAGCAGGTCTACCAGCAGGTATACCAGCAGGCCTACCAGCAGGTCTACCAGCAGGTATACCAGCAGGCCTACCAGCAGGTCTACCAGCAGGTATACCAGCAGGCCTACCAGCAGGTATACCAGCAGGTCTACCAGCAGGTATACCAGCAGGTCTACCAGCAGGTACACCAGCAGGCCTACCAGCAGGCCTACCAGCAGGTATACCAGCAGGCCTACCAGCAGGTACACCAGCAGGTCTACCAGCAGGTCTACCAGCAGGTATACCAGCAGGCCTACCAGCAGGTCTACCAGCAGGTCTACCAGCAGGTCTACCAGCAGGTCTACCAGCAGGTATACCAGCAGGCCTACCAGCAGGTATACCAGCAGGCCTACCAGCAGGTCTACCAGCAGGTATACCAGCAGGCCTACCAGCAGGTACACCAGCAGGCCTACCAGCAGGTCTACCAGCAGGTCTACCAGCAGGCCTACCAGCAGAACTACCAGCAGGTCTACCAGCAGGTCTACCAGCAGGTACACCAGCAGGTCTACCAGCAGGTCTACCAGCAGGTCTACCAGCAGGCCTACCAGCAGGTCTACCAGCAGGTATACCAGCAGGTCTACCAGCAGGTCTACCAGCAGGTATACCAGCAGGTCTACCAGCAGGTCTACCAGCAGGCCTACCAGCAGGTCTACCAGCAGGTATACCAGCAGGTCTACCAGCAGGTCTACCAGCAGGCCTACCAGCAGGTCTACCAGCAGGTCTACCAGCAGGCCCACCAAGGCTGCTCCTCTGCTGTGGAACCAGTCAGTCTGCGTACCTTGTGGAGGAGGAGGCTGCCCTGACTGCTCACGCCTCCATCGGTCTCAGAGAATCGGATGTGTTTATTGACCCTCCTGGCCACCGTAGTTTTCCGACGCCTAGGGCTGTTGTAGCTAATTACAGAGCCAAACCTAAAAGACATTTATTATCACTGAGTTTTTCATTGTTAGCTTAACTCTGACAGTCGATGGGATGATTTGGTAACCATGGCGATCACTGAGCTGAAATCTGCAGAAAATTGAATCCATTTAATTTAAAACAGATTTTTATTTTCAGCCTCTTTATTCATTTATTGTAATGATGACTTCTCCGTTGCCATAGTTACCTATATAACACTGGCGGGGTTAGCTCTCTATTCATGACTTTCTAAGAGAATCAGGAGCCGCCATCATTTGTTGCATCATAAAACGTAATAAATTCATTTCCTGTGAACCTCAGAGGAAACATTTGGAGCCAGAAGTTTCCAAACGCTTCAGAAAAGACGAAGAATCAGACCTGAGGAGATCAGACCTGAGGAGAGCAGACCTGAGGAGAGCAGACCTGAGCAGAGCAGACCTGAGGAGATCAGACCTGAGGAGAGCAGACCTGAGGAGATCAGACCTGAGGAGAGCAGACCTGAGGAGATCAGACCTGAGGAGATCAGACCTGAGGAGAGCAGACCTGAGGAGATCAGACCTGAGGAGAGCAGACCTGAGGAGATCAGACCTGAGGAGATCAGACCTGAGGAGAGCAGACCTGAGGAGATCAGACCTGAGCAGAGCAGACCTGAGGAGATCAGACCTGAGGAGATCAGACCTGAGGAGAGCAGACCTGAGGAGAGCAGACCTGAGGAGATCAGACCTGAGGAGATCAGACCTGAGGAGATCAGACCTGAGGAGATCAGACCTGAGGAGAGCAGACCTGAGGAGATCAGACCTGAGGAGATCAGACCTGAGGAGAGCAGACCTGAGGAGATCAGACCTGAGGAGAGCAGACCTGAGGAGAGCAGACCTGAGGAGATCAGGCCTGAGGAGAGCAGACCTGAGGAGAGCAGACCTGAGGAGATCAGACCTGAGGAGATCAGACCTGAGGAGAGCAGACCTGAGGAGATCAGACCTGAGGAGAGCAGACCTGAGGAGAGCAGACCTGAGGAGAGCAGACCTGAGGAGAGCAGACCTGAGGAGATCAGACCTGAGGAGATCAGACCTGAGGAGAGCAGACCTGAGGAGAGCAGACCTGAGGAGAGCAGACCTGAGGAGAGCAGACCTGAGGAGATCAGACCTGAGGAGATCAGACCTGAGGAGAGCAGACCTGAGGAGATCAGACCTGAGGAGATCAGACCTGAGGAGAGCAGACCTGAGGAGATCAGACCTGAGGAGATCAGACCTGAGGAGAGCAGACCTGAGGAGATCAGACCTGAGGAGATCAGACCTGAGGAGAGCAGACCTGAGGAGATCAGACCTGAGGAGATCAGACCTGAGGAGAGCAGACCTGAGGAGATCAGACCTGAGGAGATCAGACCTGAGGAGAGCAGACCTGAGGAGATCAGACCTGAGGAGCTTCTCCTGATTCCTCTGTCAGTGAAAGGAAAGATTGAAGTATATCTTTCCTCAGGAACGTCATGAAAGATCAGACAGTGGTTGAGGCTCCCTCTGCCCGTCTGAGAGACAGGGTGAGGAGCGGCTGGCGGCTCCAACATGGCGGGCCCTCAGGAAGGACACCTGGAAATAACCCTAAAGATGGATCAGCTCATTCAGGTCACGTCTTTTTAGAGGCTGTATGGAAACTTCTGGCCTTGCATGTCCTGTCATCATGACATCATTTCCTGGAGCTCTGGGAGGAAGACAGACTTACTGAGGCTCCTGCTGGTGTTTCAGTCCTAGTTCAGTCCAGACCTGCTGAGGACTCTGTGCCGGTCCCTCCGGTCCCTCTCGTCCCTCCGGTCCCTCCGGTCTCTCCTCCACATCCATCTCATGACTGCAGAGAAACAGAAAGGTCCCCCAGCTCACCGTCTCTGCCTCTGAAGTCCGTGGATGTTCAACCGCCAACATGGCTGCTCTCCATGTTTATCTAGGCTGACGGCAGCTAACCTGGATTTGATCCTCTGAAATCTCCTTGGGTTGTTCTCGTCTTCCTCATCTTCATCCTCTCCTCTCTGGGACAGCTTGCTGATGGAATCACCGACTCTGTGAGGGGGCGGGGCTCCAACCTGCTTTGGATCTATGGGAAAAAACAAAGCAAGGATGGAGTTTAGCTGAGCTGTAGTTTGGTAACCCACGGGGGCCAAGGGGCCACCCTGCCTGGTCCAATCCTTTGGTGGACTAGTTACCTGGTGGCTGGGCTGGGTTCTCCTGAGAGGTTCCAGGAGGTTCCGTCTGATCAGGTCCTCCATCTGAAGGCTCCTCCTCCTCCAGCTCAGCCTCACAGCTTCTGCTGTCCTCAATGGAGCAGCGTCCTCTGAACAGATCAGTCAGAACCTCCACTCTGCCGCCCGTCTGAGGGCCGGACTGAGGGCCGGACTGAGGCTCCGTCTGAGGCTCCGTCTGAGGGCCGGTCTGAGGCTCCGTCTGAGGCGCCGTCTGAGCGTCAGTGTGAGCGTCCTCACCAGCAGTCCAGCCCAGGGCGCTCCAATAGGAGAAGCTCTCCCAGTAGGAGTAGTAGGTCTCTGTAGCGTGTTGTTCCCAGAGGGCCTTCTGACCTGGATGGTTCCAGGGGTCAGACACAGATGCCAGGATGGAGTCTGGATGCTTCTCCAGCCAGAAGCTCCACAGCAGCTCTGCTCCATTCTCAGCTTTATGGACGACAGAACAGACAAACAGCCTTCAGCCAACCATCCACCCAAACCTCATGAGGAAAACGCTTTAAAATGTTGAAATAAAAGTGAATCAGACAAGTTTCCATCCTTAGCAGGGAGTTGAAGCGAAGGGTGGTGATGTCATCTGCTTATAAACAGGAAGTAGAGATAGCAAACCAGAATGGAGCACAAGGAGGTTCTAATGTGGGATAATCTCAGTGATTTAGCCATGGAGCACCCTGACCGAGGAGCACCCTGACCGAGGAGCACCCTAACCGAGGAGCACCCTGACCGAGGAGCACCCTGACCGAGGAGCACCCTGACCGAGGAGCAAATGAGGAGCACCCTGACCGTGGAGCACCCTGACCGAGGAGCAAATGAGGAGCACCCTGACAGAGGGGTAAATGAGGAGCACCCTGACCGAGGGGCACCCTGACCATGGAGCACCCTGACCGAGGAGCACCCTGACCGAGGAGCACCCTAACCGAGGAGCACCCTGACCGAGGAGCAAATGAGGAGCACCCTGACCGTGGAGTACCCTAACCGAGGAGCACCCTGACCGAGGAGCAATGAGGAGCACCCTGACAGAGGGGTAAATGAGGAGCACCCTGACCGAGGGGCACCCTGACCATGGAGCACCCTGACCGAGGAGCACCCTGACCGAGGAGCACCCTGACCATGTAGCACCCTGACCGAGGAGCACCCTGAGCGAGGAGCACCCTGACCGAGGAGCACCCTGACCGAGGAGCACCCTGACCATGTAGCACCCTGACCATGTAGCACCCTGACCATGGAGCACCCTGACCATGTAGCACCCTGACCATGGAGCACCCTGACCATGGAGCACCCTGACCATGGAGCACCCTGACCGAGGGGCACCCTGACCGAGAGGCACCCTGACCGAGGAGCACCCTGACCGGGGGGCACCCTGACCGAGAAGCACCCTGACCGAGGAGCATCCTGACCGAGGGGCACCCTGACCATGGAGCACCCTGACCATGGAGCACGCTGACCATCGAGCACCCTGACCGAGGAGCAAATGAGGAGCACCCTGACCGAGGGGCACCCTGACCATGAAGCACCCTGACCATGGAGCACCCTGACCATGGAGCACCCTAACCGAGGAGCAAATGAGGAGCAACCTGACCGAGGGGCACCCTGACCGAAGAGCACCCTGACAGAGGGGCAAATGAGGAGCACCCTGACCGAGGGGCACCCTGACCGAAGAGCACCCTGACCATGGAGCACCCTGACAGAGGGGCAAATGAGGAGCACCCTGACCATGGAGCACCCTGACCATGGAGCACCCTGACTGAGGAGCAAATGAGGAGCACCCTGACCGAGGGGCACCCTGACCGAAGAGCACCCTGACAGAGGGGCAAATGAGGAGCACCCTGACCGAGGAGCACCCTGACCGAGGGGCACCCTGACCATGGAGCACCCTGACCATGGAGCACCCTGACCGAGGAGCACCCTGACCATGAAGCACCCTGACCCAGGAGCACCGTGATCGAGGGGCACCCTGACCATGGAGCACCCTGACCGAGGGGCACCCTGACCATGAAGCACCCTGACCATGAAGCACCCTGACCCAGGAACACCGTGATCGAGGAGCACCCTGACCGAGGAGCACCCTGACCGAGAAGCAAATGAGGAGCACCCTGACCGAGGAGCACCCTGACCATGGAGCACCCTGACCGAGGAGCACCCTGACCATGGAGCACCCTGACCAAGGAGCAAATGAGGAGCACCCTGACAGAGGAGCACCCTGACCAAGAAGCAAATGAGGAGCACCCTGACCGAGGAGCACCCTGACAGAGGAGCACCCTGACCATGGAGCACCGTGACCGAGGAGCACCCTGACCATGGAGCACCCTGACCAAGGAGCACCCTGACCATGGAGCACCCTGACCAAGGGGCACCCTGACCATGGAGCACCCTGACCAAGGGGCACCCTGACCATGGAGCACCCTGACCGAGGAGCACCCTGACCGAGGGGCACCCTGACCGAGGAGCACCCTGACCATGGAGCACCCTGACCATGGAGCACCCTGACCGAGGAGCACCCTGACCATGAAGCACCCTGACCATGAAGCACCCTGACCATGAAGCACCCTGACCATGGAGCACCCTGACCATGAAGCACCCTGACCATGGAGCACACTGACCGAGGGGCACCCTGACCATGGAGCACCCTGACCATGGAGCACCCTGACCATGAAGCACCCTGACCATGAAGCACCCTGACCATGAAGCACCCTGACCATGGAGCACTGTGATCGAGGGGCACCCTGACCATGGAGCACCCTGACCATGGAGCACCCTGACCATGGAGCACCCTGACCGAGGAGCACCCTGACCGAGAAGCACCCTGACCGAGAAGCACCCTGACCGAGAAGCACCCTGACCAGGGGGCACCCCTCGGTCAGGATGCTCCTCGGTCAGGGTGCTACATGATCAGGGTGCTCCATGGTCAGGGTGCCCCTCGATCACAGTGCTCCATGGTCAGGGTGCTTCATGGTCAGGGTGCTTCATGGTCAGGGTGCTTCATGGTCAGGGTGCTTCATGGTCAGGGTGCTCCATGGTCAGGGTGCTCCATGGTCAGGGTGCCCCTCGATCACAGTGCTCCATGGTCAGGGTGCCCCTTGGTCAGGGTGCTCCATGGTCAGGGTGCTTCATGGTCAGGGTGCTTCATGGTCAGGGTGCTCCTCGGTCAGGGTGCTCCATGGTCGAGAAGCACCCTGACCGAGGGGCACCCTGACCGAGAAGCACCCTGACCGAGGGGCACCCTGACCGAGAAGCACCCTGACCGAGAAGCACCCTGACCATGGAGCACCCTGACCGAGGAGCACCCTGACCGAGGAGCACCCTGACCATGTAGCACCCTGACCGAGGAGCATCCTGACCGAGGGGCACCCTGACCGAGGAGCACCCTGACCGAGGAGCACCCTGACCATGGAGCGCCCTGACCGAGAAGCACCCTGACCATGGAGCACCCTGACCATGGAGCACCCTGACCGAGGAGCATCCTGACTGAGGAGCACCCTGACCGAGGAGCACCCTGACCATGTAGCACCCTGACCGAGGAGCATCCTGACCGAGGGGCACCCTGACCGAGGAGCACCCTGACCGAGGAGCACCCTGACCATGGAGCGCCCTGACCGAGAAGCACCCTGACCATGGAGCACCCTGACCATGTAGCACCCTGACCATGTAGCACCCTGACCATGGAGCACCCTGACCATGGAGCACCCTGACCATGGAGCACCCTGACCATGGAGCACCCTGAACGAGGGGCACCCTGACCATGGAGCACCCTGACCATGGAGCACCCTGACCATGGAGCACCCTGAACGAGGGGCACCCTGACCATGGAGCACCCTGACCATGGAGCACCCTGACCATGGAGCACCCTGAACGAGGGGCACCCTGACCATGGAGGCTTATTTGAAGCAAAGCTTGTTCATCACTAGTTCATTGGATTCAGATGTTTAGTTTTAACTTCCTCCACTGATGGTGGACTTCCTGGTTTTTATTAGTATTTTGTTTTTGGTTCCTGCTGCCTGTCTGTCCTCTTCAGTCCATCTCAGACCTGTGTGGGAGCAGAAAGAATAAACCCAAGCGGAGGACAGGGCAGCAGATGATCAGCAGCTCCTCTGATTGGTTGTTCTGCTCCATGGTGACCATCAGAGCGTCCAGGAACTGAGTCCAGGTGGAGCTGCTGGCTTGGCTTTGTTAATGATTTCATCCTGTGAACGGAACCAGCAGCATACCCGGCGGGTCGTTTGGACCGCTGGCAGAATCATCTGGTACCGGTGGACCTGCTCCTTACCCCAGTAGGTCTCCCAGCTGCTGCCTCGGATCTCCTGCTGCTCCACTTCAGCACCACCTGCTGTCACAGAGACAGAAGCAGCAGGTAAACCGGACTGACACATTCAGCTCCTTCATCACATCATGAGGGGGATGGTACCTGTGTGAGGGACCTGCTCCAGGTCTGATGGTTCTTCCTGGCCTGTGCTGATTGTCCTGGGTGGTCCTCCACCTCCTCCACCTCCTCCTCGTCTTATTCTTCTTCTTCTCTGTCATGAAAGGAGAAAGGAGGAGCTTTGAGCGTCCATGATGGATTAGAAACTAGATATAAGGCAGCCAGGCGGACCTACCAGGACACTCTGCTCCGAGGAGCTGCAGAACGCTACAGGTAGACCCATCTCAGCCATCAGCTGGGACTCTTCATCCAGCTCATCTTCCTCTTCCTCATTTACAGATTCTGCCAATTCAGCAAAAACATGTTTCTGTGATCAGTCACTGGGCCTCCTCCTCCTCAGTTCAACACGCTGAAGGAGGCCAGGAGAACCGACGGTACCTTGGAGATACGCATCTACTCCTCCAGAGGACAGCAGGCGGTTATCAGAGCGGTACAGCTCCCTGTCCCTGTTCACAGAGTTAGAGCACACAGAGTTACAACATAGTTACAACATAGAGTTAGAGCACACAGAGTTACAACACAGAGTTAGAGCACACAGAGTTACAACATAGTTACAACATAGAGTTAGAGCACACAGAGTTACAACACAGAGTTAGAGCACACAGAGTTACAACATAGAGTTAGAACACACAGAGTTACAACATAGAGTTAGAGCACACAGAGTTACAACACAGGGTTAGAGCACACAGAGTTACAACATAGTTACAACATAGAGTTAGAGCACACAGAGTTACAACACAGAGTTAGAGCACACAGAGTTACAACATAGAGTTACAACATAGTTACAACATAGAATTAGAGCACACAGAGTTACAACACAGAGTTACAACATAGTTACAACATAGAGTTACAACATAGTTACAACATAGAGTTAGAGCACACAGAGTTACAACACAGTTACAACATAGAGTTAGAGCACACAGAGTTACAACACAGAGTTAGAGCACACAGAGTTACAACATAGAGTTACAACATAGTTACAACATAGAGTTAGAGCACACAGAGTTACAACACAGAGTTAGAGCACACAGAGTTACAACACAGAGTTACAACATAGTTACAACATAGAGTTAGAGCACACAGAGTTACAACACAGAGTTACAACATAGTTACAACACAGAGTTAGAGCACACAGAGGTACAAACCAGAGTTAGAGCACAGAGTTACAACATAGAGTTAGAGCACACAGAGTTACAACACAGAGTTAGAGCACATAGAGTTACAACACAGGTTTAAAACAGAGTTAGAGCACACAGAGTTACAACACAGAGTTAGAGCACACAGAGTTACAACATAGAGTTAGAGCACACAGAGTTACAACACAGAGTTACAACATAGAGTTAGAGCACACAGAGTTACAACATAGAGTTAGAGCACACAGAGTTACAACACAGAGTTAGAGCACAGAGTTACAACACAGAGTTAGAGCACACAGAGTTACAACACAGAGTTGGAGCATAGAGTTACAACACAGAGTTAGAGCACACAGAGTTAGAACACAGAGTTACAACATAGAGTTAGAGCACAGAGTTACAACACAGAGTTAGAGCACACAGAGTTACAACATAGTTACAACATAGAGTTAGAGCACACAGAGTTACAACACAGAGTTAGAGCACACAGAGTTACAACATAGAGTTACAACATAGTTACAACATAGAGTTAGAGCACACAGAGTTACAACACAGAGTTACAACATAGTTACAACATAGAGTTACAACATAGTTACAACATAGAGTTAGAGCACACAGAGTTACAACACAGTTACAACATAGAGTTAGAGCACACAGAGTTACAACACAGAGTTAGAGCACACAGAGTTACAAAATAGAGTTACAACATAGTTACAACATAGAGTTAGAGCACACAGAGTTACAACACAGAGTTAGAGCACACAGAGTTACAACACAGAGTTACAACATAGTTACAACATAGAGTTAGAGCACACAGAGTTACAACACAGAGTTACAACATAGTTACAACACAGAGTTAGAGCACACAGAGTTACAAACCAGAGTTAGAGCACAGAGTTACAACATAGAGTTAGAGCACACAGAGTTACAACACAGAGTTAGAGCACACAGAGTTACAACACAGAGTTACAACATAGTTACAACATAGAGTTACAACACAGGTTTAAAACAGAGTTAGAGCACACAGAGTTACAACATAGAGTTAGAGCACACAGAGTTACAACACAGAGTTAGAGCACACAGAGTTACAACATAGAGTTAGAGCACACAGAGTTACAACACAGAGTTACAACATAGAGTTAGAGCACACAGAGTTACAACATAGAGTTAGAGCACACAGAGTTACAACATAGAGTTAGAGCACAGAGTTACAACACAGAGTTAGAGCACAGAGTTACAACACAGAGTTAGAGCAGACAGAGTTACAACACAGAGTTAGAGCATAGAGTTACAACACAGAGTTAGAGCATAGAGTTACAACACAGAGTTAGAGCACAGAGTTACAACATAGAGTTAGAGCACACAGAGTTACAACACAGAGTTAGAGCACAGAGTTACAACACAGAGTTAGAGCACACAGTTACAACACAGAGTTAGAGCATAGAGTTACAACACAGAGTTAGAGCACACAGAGTTAGAACACAGAGTTACAACATAGAGTTAGAGCACAGAGTTACAACACAGAGTTAGAGCACACAGAGTTACAACACAGAGTTACAACATAGTTACAACATAGAGTTACAACACAGGTTTAAAACAGAGTTAGAGCACACAGAGTTACAACATAGAGTTACAACATAGTTACAACATAGAGTTAGAGCACACAGAGTTACAACACAGAGTTACAACATAGAGTTAGAGCACACAGAGTTACAACACAGAGTTAGAGCACACAGAGTTACAACATAGAGTTAGAGCACACAGAGTTACAACACAGAGTTACAACATAGAGTTAGAGCACACAGAGTTACAACACAGAGTTAGAGCACACAGAGTTACAACATAGAGTTAGAGCACACAGAGTTACAATATAGAGTTACAACATAGTTACAACATAGAGTTAGAGCACACAGAGTTACAACACAGATTTAGAGCACACAGAGTTACAACATAGAGTTAGAGCACACAGAGTTACAACACAGAGTTATAACATAGAGTTAGAGCACACAGAGTTACAACATAGAGTTAGAGCACACAGAGTTACAACATAGAGTTACAACATAGTTACAACATAGAGTTAGAGCACACAGAGTTACAACACAGAGTTAGAGCACACAGAGTTACAACATAGAGTTAGAGCACACAGAGTTACAACATAGAGTTAGAGCACACAGAGTTACAACATAGAGTTAGAGCACACAGAGTTACAACACAGAGTTAGAGCACAGAGTTACAACACAGAGTTAGAGCACACAGAGTTACAACATAGAGTTACAACATAGAGTTAGAGCACACAGAGTTACAACACAGAGTTAGAGCACACAGAGTTACAACATAGAGTTAGAGCACACAGAGTTACAACACAGAGTTACAACATAGAGTTAGAGCACACAGAGTTACAACATAGAGTTAGAGCACAGAGTTACAACACAGAGTTAGAGCACACAGAGTTAGAACACAGAGTTACAACATAGAGTGAGAGCACACAGAGTTACAACACAGAGTTACAACACAGAGTTAGAGCACAGAGTTACAACACAGAGTTAGAGCACACAGAGTTAGAACATAGAGTGAGAGCACACAGAGTTACAACACAGAGTTACAACACAGAGTTAGAGCACACAGAGTTACAACACAGAGTTAGAGCACACAGAGTTACAACATAGAGTTACAACACAGGTTTAAAACAGAGTTAGAGCACACAGAGTTACAACATAGAGTTAGAACACAGTTACAACATAGAGTTACAACACAGAGTTACAACATAGAGTTACAACACAGAGTTACAACACAGGTTTAAAACATAGAGTTAGAGCACACAGAGTTACAACATAGAGTTACAACATAGTTACAACATAGAGTTACAACATAGTTACAACATAGAGTTAGAGCACACAGAGTTACAACACAGAGTTAGAGCACACAGAGTTACAACATAGAGTTAGAGCACACAGAGTTACAACATAGAGTTAGAGCACACAGAGTTAGAGCACACAGAGTTACAACACAGAGTTAGAGCACAGAGTTACAACACAGAGTTAGAGCACACAGAGTTAGAGCACACAGAGTTACAACACAGAGTTACAACACAGAGTTAGAGCACACAGAGTTAGAACACAGAGTTACAACATAGAGTGAGAGCACACAGAGTTACAACACAGTTAGAGCACACAGAGTTACAACACAGAGTTAGAGCACACAGAGTTACAACACAGAGTTAGAGCACACAGAGTTACAACATAGAGTTAGAGCACACAGAGTTACAACATAGAGTTACAACATAGTTACAACATAGAGTTAGAGCACACAGAGTTACAACACAGAGTTAGAGCACACAGAGTTACAACATAGAGTTAGAGCACACAGAGTTACAACATAGAGTTAGAGCACACAGAGTTAGAGCACACAGAGTTACAACACAGAGTTAGAGCACAGAGTTACAACACAGAGTTAGAGCACACAGAGTTAGAGCACACAGAGTTACAACACAGAGTTACAACACAGAGTTAGAGCACACAGAGTTAGAACACAGAGTTACAACATAGAGTGAGAGCACACAGAGTTACAACACAGTTAGAGCACACAGAGTTACAACACAGAGTTAGAGCACACAGAGTTACAACACAGAGTTAGAGCACACAGAGTTACAACACAGAGTTAGAGCACACAGAGTTACAACACAGAGTTAGAGCACACAGAGTTACAACACAGAGTTAGAGCACACAGAGTTACAACACAGAGTTACAACACAGAGTTACAACACAGAGTTACAACACAGAGTTACAACACAGAGTTAGAGCACACAGAGTTACAACATAGAGTTAGAGCACACAGAGTTACAACACAGAGTTACAACACAGAGTTACAACACAGAGTTACAACACAGAGTTAGAGCACACAGAGTTACAACATAGAGTTAGAGCACACAGAGTTACAACATAGAGTTAGAGCACACAGAGTTACAACATAGAGTTAGAGCACACAGAGTTACAACACAGAGTTAGAGCACAGAGTTACAACACAGAGTTAGAGCACACAGAGTTACAACATAGAGTTACAACATAGTTACAACATAGAGTTAGAGCACACAGAGTTACAACACAGAGTTAGAGCACACAGAGTTACAACATAGAGTTAGAGCACACAGAGTTACAACACAGAGTTACAACATAGAGTTAGAGCACACAGAGTTACAACATAGAGTTAGAGCACAGAGTTACAACACAGAGTTAGAGCACACAGAGTTAGAACACAGAGTTACAACATAGAGTGAGAGCACACAGAGTTACAACACAGAGTTACAACACAGAGTTAGAGCACAGAGTTACAACACAGAGTTAGAGCACACAGAGTTAGAACACAGAGTTACAACATAGAGTGAGAGCACACAGAGTTACAACACAGAGTTACAACACAGAGTTAGAGCACACAGAGTTACAACACAGAGTTAGAGCACACAGAGTTACAACATAGAGTTACAACACAGGTTTAAAACAGAGTTAGAGCACACAGAGTTACAACATAGAGTTAGAACACAGTTACAACATAGAGTTACAACACAGAGTTACAACATAGAGTTACAACACAGAGTTACAACACAGGTTTAAAACATAGAGTTAGAGCACACAGAGTTACAACATAGAGTTACAACATAGTTACAACATAGAGTTACAACATAGTTACAACATAGAGTTAGAGCACACAGAGTTACAACACAGAGTTAGAGCACACAGAGTTACAACATAGAGTTAGAGCCAACAGAGTTACAACACAGAGTTACAACATAGAGTTAGAGCACACAGAGTTACAACATAGAGTTAGAGCACACAGAGTTAGAGCACACAGAGTTACAACACAGAGTTAGAGCACACAGAGTTAGAACACAGAGTTACAACACAGAGTTAGAGCACACAGAGTTAGAACACAGAGTTACAACATAGAGTGAGAGCACACAGAGTTACAACACAGTTAGAGCACACAGAGTTACAACACAGAGTTAGAGCACACAGAGTTACAACACAGAGTTAGAGCACACAGAGTTACAACACAGAGTTAGAGCACACAGAGTTACAACACAGAGTTACAACACAGAGTTACAACACAGAGTTAGAGCACACAGAGTTACAACACAGAGTTAGAGCACACAGAGTTACAACACAGAGTTAGAGCACACAGAGTTACAACACAGAGTTACAACACAGAGTTAGAGCACACAGAGTTACAACACAGAGTTACAACACAGAGTTACAACACAGAGTTAGAGCACACAGAGTTACAACACAGAGTTACAACACAGAGTTACAACACAGAGTTACAACACAGAGTTAGAGCACACAGAGTTAGAACACAGAGTTACAACATAGAGTGAGAGCACACAGAGTTACAACACAGTTAGAGCACACAGAGTTACAACACAGAGTTAGAGCACACAGAGTTACAACACAGAGTTAGAGCACACAGAGTTACAACACAGAGTTAGAGCACACAGAGTTACAACACAGAGTTACAACACAGAGTTACAACACAGAGTTAGAGCACACAGAGTTACAACACAGAGTTAGAGCACACAGAGTTACAACACAGAGTTAGAGCACACAGAGTTACAACACAGAGTTACAACACAGAGTTACAACACAGAGTTAGAGCACACAGAGTTACAACACAGAGTTAGAGCACACAGAGTTACAACACAGAGTTAGAGCACACAGAGTTACAACACAGAGTTAGAGCACACAGAGTTACAGCACAGAGTTAGAGCACACAGAGTTACAACATAGAGTTAGAGCACACAGAGTTACAGCACGGAGTTACAACATAGAGTTAGAGCACACAGAGTTACAACACAGAGTTACAACACAGAGTTAGAGCACACAGAGTTACAACAGAGTTACAAAATAGAGTTAGAACACAGAGTTACAGCACGGAGTTACAACATAGAGTTAGAGCACACAGAGTTACAACACAGAGTTACAACACAGAGTTAGAGCACACAGAGTTACAACAGAGTTACAAAATAGAGTTAGAACACAGAGTTACAACATAGAGTTAGAACACAGAGTTAGAGCACACAGAGTTAGAACACAGAGTTAGAGCACACAGAGTTACAACAGAGTTACAAAATAGAGTTAGAACACAGAGTTACAACATAGAGTTAGAACATAGAGTTAGAGCACACACAGTTAGAACACAGAGTTAGAACACAGAGTTAGAGCACACAGAGTTAGAACACAGAGTTAGAGCACACAGAGTTAGAACACAGAGTCAGAGCACACAGAGTTAGAACATAGAGTTATAGCACACAGAGTTAGAGCACACAGTTAGGCCATCAGTGAGACCAGAGGATAGCACATCTACTGTAGAGCTTCCTGAACTATTCCAGGTGTTCAGGCTGAAAGTTTAGGAATCATGTCTGGAAATCAAATCTCTATCTGGGTGCAGACAGCATCTACTAGTGATGTCATGAGAAGATCTAGGCTTCCAGGCGTGTCGAGTAACGGAGGGGAAGTTTCTGCGAGGCGCGTATCGAGGCTTGCTTCATTTGGGGGAGGAGCCAAAATAGATGATGTCTGAAGCCCGGCTACCCGCCGCAGCATGTGACCGCTTCAGGAAGTGGAGCAGCTCACCTGGAACTTCAACAGGCATTTAAACAGCCAGATGTTCAGTCCAGATGTGGGAGTTTGGAGGAGAGCTGCTGTCAGTTGGATAAAGTTTGGATAGATTCTAAGAATAGATTGGCTGTAAAAACAACCAATCTAGTTAGTTAAAACTACATTGGTTGGATTAAACAATGAAATTATCAGAATCTGAGCAAACTGCTGCTCATGCAGGTAATGGGTTTAAGTATTATTGCTTTCAAAGCTGTAAGCGATCCCATCAAGACCCACTTCTCTTCGCTAAAGTGACTAATTAATTAGTATTGGTTTGACCTTGTATAAAAATGCTACCAAATTAGATTGCTTTGTTTAACCAACCAGATTAAAACCCAAAACTCTGGAAGAACAATTATTTCTGAATAAAATGACTAAAACCTTTTATTTTGCTCATCGATGCCCAGTTTGCACAAATACCTTCACTGCTTGAGCTTATTTCACTAAAAGAGCAGAGAAACTGCTTTTTCTCTTATAAGACATTTTACACATAGAAAACTTACAAAAGATTTTATTATACACACCAATCTTTAACACTTCAAAGAAACTTAAATGGGAAAAAGAAAAAAAAAACAATTGCAAAAAATCCCAGTCTATCACTACCTGTAGTTCTGCCCTCCACCAGTAGGTGGAGACGTTCGCCTGAAGCTTCAGGCGTCAATGAGGCGTCATCTCACCATCACTAGCATCTACCTGCTATAGCTCTATACCTGGTCCTTAGAAAACTGATCAAGGATTCCTGATATTCCTGGGAGGATTTGTGATCTTTTATTTATCTTCTGTTGAAAAGATAAACAGTAATAAAAGATCAATAATCTCATTTTAGAGGAAACCTGAACTTTCCTGAAGGAGGAGAACCAAAGAAGGACCAAAGGTTCTGAGGATGAAACCCAGAAGCCCATCAGGGTTCTGGGAACGGGTTTGGTTCTGTGGGTTCCGGGTCTGGATGGATTCCAGGAGGAGATCAGCCTGTGGTTTAGCTCAGGTGGTTCTGGCTAGAATCTCTATGGGGTTCTGCTCAGTCCAGTTTGCAGACGGGTCAAACACAGAACCAGCGTGGTCACTGGACCGGCACCGGTTCCTCTGCTAGTCTGGGTCGGTACCAAAGCAGCGGGTCAGCAGAGGGAAGCATGAAGTGGTCTGATATTAGCTGGTAGAACCAGAACCAGCAGAGGACCCACCCACTCTGGGACCAGTCCGGTTCTGTTCTCCTCAGTCCAGTCTGGGTCCGTCTGGTTCCACCCGATGAGTGGAACATCTGCAGCCAATCAGGATGATCTGACTCCATCCTGTCAGCCCCTCCCTCTCACACTTCTTCCTTCCACTAAACTTTCTCCAGTCATGCTGCTCCGTGTCCTCCCTCCCTGAGGACGCTGTCCCTGTCTGTCCCTCTGCCTGTACCTCTGTCTGTCCTGCTGACCCAGGCTGAGGGTCTGCAGATGTTTGGAGGTTGGAAGCTTTGAGCTTCTGATATTTATTTTTTTTATATGAAGCTTTAATGATCAGATCTGCCTGATGTCCTCCAGACTCCTTGTCCTCTGCCTGCAGGTCAGAGCAGACTGGCTGATGGAAGCAGAGCAGGAGGACATAGAGTACCGGGTTCCCTCCAGGATGAGCGGCCATTAGCTTAGCTTCAAACTGATGATCTAAAACCCATAGATATCCATAATAAATAATTTCCATTAAATAATATCCATAATAAATTATTTATTATGGATATCTATGCTAAAACCTCCTTAGCAGGTAGCAGCTAGCAGCACCGGAAGAGAAGCAGCCATGTTTAAAACCAAACCCTTACTCTGCGAAGACTCTGGAGCACCGGCACCGCACAGCCTCCTCCTCCTCCGGGTTGTAGCTCAGGAGGAGCTCCGCCACCACAGCCCTGCGGCTCCTGGTTCTGGTTCTGTCCAGCATCATCTCGACCCAAACGGAACCGGATCCGCGACAGAAACGCTCACTTTACGTGTTGCCGGCTTTTCTTCTTCTTTCCTTTACGCATTGATTCTTCTTCTTCTTCTGTGTGTCAGGCAGGCTGGACCATTGACAGAAGAGTAGACCCCGCATCGACCGGGACGCCATCTTGGGGAGGTCGTCTGCTCCGTTCAGTGTAATGTGTTGAACGGAACAGAATCAGTTTTCTGTATATTTAACAAATTTTCATTTTTTTCTTTTTTTTTTTACTGAAAACAGACAAATTGTTCAGTTTATTTAAATATTCTTAGTGGGTTTAAGAATAATAGAATATTCTGATAGGATGGATGCATGTGGCAAAGCAGCCACTCATACATTTTTATATTTTTTACTACTATATACAAAAACATATTTATACATGTATGCACAGAGTGGGGTCGCGAGGGGTTCAGGTGCCAGCAGTCAATGGGCGAGAGGCGGGGTCCACCCTGGACAGGTCGCCAGTCCAGCGCAGGGCATATATATATATATATACACACACCACATATCACTCACTATATATATACACATATCTATATATACATCTTTCTCCATATTATTAATATATATATATATATATATATATATATATATATATATATATATATATATATATATATATAAAATCTGATGCACAGTATTTATATTTGTAAAAACATTGTACATTACAATATTTTATTTGTTTATTTTTTATATTTATTTATTAATATTTCGTATTTCATGTTAATGTTATTTTTACCCATGTTTATGCTGTTTCGTTTTTTATTTCATCCTGGGAGGACTCAGATTAGAGCCGCTGCTCCTCCACATAGAGAGGAGCCAGCTGAGGAGGCTCGGCCATCTGGTTAGGATGCCTCCTGGACGTCTCCCTGGTGAGGTGATCCAGGCACGTCCCACCGGGGGGAGGGTGGATAGATGGATGTTTTTTAATTGTACTGTTATTTATTTATTTATTTGTTTTTCCTTACAGCTCTTTGGTCAGCTGTGGTTGTCTTTAGGTGCTTAAATAAAACTGGATTGGATATTTTTTTTACTCTGTCTCTATTCTATGATTTTATTATACTTTTTAAGCTCCACGTGTGTGTGACCACTTTTGCTGTAATCTTTCGCTGCTTTAACAGCATAATTTACCCACTGTGGGACAATAAAGGGAGTTTCTATTCTATTTAGCGTATATCTGTGGTTTATTCAATAATGTCTTTTATTGTCAATTATTCAATAAAGCTCTGATACCTTCAAGAAGTTCTCCCTCCAGCCCTGAGGTCAAAAGTCTGTAGATTTAAACAAAGATACACTGCAGTGCTGAGGCATTCTTCTTCTGTTCTGCTTAAAGCTGCAGGTTAGGGGAGCAGGTCGACCTCCCCAAGATGGAGGGTGCCCGTAATTCCTGCGGGGTTTACTCATATATAAACGTCATTGGGCTAGACATCCTCAGGGGAATTGCTGCCTCCCACAGGCTGTTTGCACTACTACCACATCACATAAGGGGAATAACAACAGCCACATTTCTGAGAGTATTTAGGGGAGCGATGGCCTAAAGGTTAATGGTTAGAGCCCAGCGGCCTGGGCTACATTAATAACTGGCAATCCTTCTGGGGAAAGCCTGGTCTGATTCGGAGAGACGGCATCCATCCTACTCTGGATGGTGCAGCTCTTCTTTCTAGGAATCTGGCCACATTTATTAGTCCTCCAAAACCCTGACCCCCCAGGGTGCAGACCAGGAAGCAGAGTCCTAGTTTAACAGACCTCTCTGCAGCTTCTCTACTGTTACCCACTCTTTACTCCATCCAGACAGTGTCTTGCCCACGACCAAAATCTAATAAATTAGCAAATATTCCCAAAGGAGTAAATCATGATAATCTAATTAAAATTAAAATAACTCCAATTGGGGAAAAAGTTAAAACAATTAAATGCGGTCTGTTTAACATAAGATCTCTTTCCTCTAAAAGTCTGCTAGTTAATGACTTGATTTGTGATAATCACATTGACTTGTTTTGCCTTACAGAAACCTGGCTGCAGCAAGAGGATTATGTGAGCATAAATGAGGCAACTCCTTCAAGCTATTTAAATTTTCACATCCCCAGAAGTTCTGGGCGAGGAGGAGGAGTAGCAGCAATCTTCCAGTCTGACTTACTGATTACTCCCAAAACAGTTAATACCTACAACTCTTTTGAACATTTAACCCTTAATTTCCCTGATCCAAGTTGCAAAGCAGAAAACCTCTTCTTTTTGTAACTTTGTATCGTCCACCAGGTCCTTACTCTGAATTTTTAGATGAGTTTTCAGAGTTCCTTTCTGATTTGGTATTAAATACTGACAGGGTCATCATAGTGGGAGATTTTAACATCCATGCTGACATTGAAGGCGATAGCTTAAGAGCAGCCTTTAATGCTATCTTAGACACTATTGGCTTTGTTCAAAATGTGAATAGTCCCACACATTCTCATCTTCATACTTTGGATCCACCATGATGGGTCTAATATATTTTGAACACATGCAGAAACACTCACAGAGAGAGTGTAAAAGTAAGAAAGTTTATTTTCAGCTAGGCAAAACAGAAACTGTGTTAACACAGCTTGATGGGACCTGCGGCCAGGAATCCAGGTGCTATTGAACTAGCTGCCTGAATTGGAGAGAGGTAAGCGGTTCCAGTTTTAGTTTTAGTGGCGCTATACTCCAGTTAATAATTAATCAATTACTAAATTAGTTGACGATTATTTAAATAATCGATTAAGATGATTAATTGTTTCATCCATAGATAAAATACATAGAATGGGCGACAGAGTAACTGCAGCCCAGATGCACAACTGGTATGATGAAGTTAATATTTTAAATGCTCAGTGTCAGTTCCTCTCATAGTTCCAGTGCTCATGTAAATAAAATACATTTATTTACCGTCCCTTTAATGTATTATTTTGCATGATACAGAGAGAGCAGATTAGATAAAAAAATAAATAATAGTGGGGTTTACCTGTTTACCTCTGCTAAATTCTATATCTTCAAAAGAAAACAGGATAAATCCACATATAGCAGGAATATTTAGACTATATTTGCTTAAATAGACACTGTCTTTGTTGCTGGTTAGTTTAAATGCAAACATTTTCAAAGTGTAAAAAAGTCCTAATTCCACATTGATCAATGTAGCAGAAATGCTGCTGTTCTCTTTAAACAAAATGTGTCCTGATGCTCACATTAAGCCTAAAAAGGAGACCAATGAAACTAAAGACCAATAGTGTCCCTACCAAAGCAACTACAGGTGTTTGGCTCCAGGTAACCAGAGATTCACTTCCATACAGAAAGCCCATATTCTGACCTTCAGGAAACACAGAGTACATGTCAGATTAAATAATATTACTTCAGCAATAGTTTCAAGGTGTTGCTTCATTGTATATCTCGTTCCATGTCTTTCGGTTGTGCTGTTCTTTTCCATCTCTTTGCAGGTGATGAAGCAGACTGAAAATGTCTCCTTTCTATCTCCTCTTTCTTTTATCTTTTCTCTCTTTTTTTTTCTTCTGTTTTTCCTTTCCTGTTTTACTTCCATTGCAGTGTCCATATAATCTGTAAAAGTCCCTTCATAATTATATTAAAGCAATTTATATGCATGAATCAAGTGGATCACCATGGCAACAGCCGTACTGCTCCACTGGTGACAGTAAAACCTGTTGGGCTCTTTCTGGCATCAAGATAATTCCTCTTATTGCCTCATCGGCAGACAGGATGCTGTGGATTCAAGCTCTGCAGCAGATCTTCATTAGTGGACCTGTCCATGGTGCTGAAATCCAGGCTGGAAACTGGACCACTGATCTGCTTAGAGCCCAGATTAGCGGACAGATGTGGACAGATATGGACAGATATGGACAGGTGTGGACAGATGTGGACAGGTGTGGACAGATGTGGACCGATGTGGACAGATGTGGACAGATGTGGACAGATGTGGACAGATGTGGACAGGTGTGGACAGATGTGGACAGGTGTGGACAGATGTGGACCGATGTGGACAGATGTGGACAGATGTGGACAGATGTGGACAGATGTGGACAGGTGTGGACAGATGTGGACAGGTGTGGACAGATGTGGACCGATGTGGACAGATGTGGACAGATGTGGACAGATGTGGACAGGTGTGGACAGATGTGGACAGGTGTGGACAGATGTGGACCGATGTGGACAGATGTGGACAGATGTGGACAGATGTGGACAGATATGGACAGATGTGGACAGATGTGGACAGATATGGACAGATATGGACAGATATGGACAGATATGGACAGATGTGGACAGATATGGACAGATGTGGACAGATGTGGACAGATGTGGACAGGTGTGGACAGATGTGGACAGATGTGGACAGATGTGGACAGGTGTGGACAGATGTGGACAGGTGTGGACAGATGTGGACCGATGTGGACAGATGTGGACAGATGTGGACAGGTGTGGACAGATGTGGACAGGTGTGGACAGATGTGGACCGATGTGGACAGATGTGGACAGATGTGGACAGATGTGGACAGATATGGACAGATATGGACAGATGTGGACAGATGTGGACAGGTGTGGACAGATGTGGACAGGTGTGGACAGATGTGGACCGATGTGGACAGATGTGGACAGATGTGGACAGATATGGACAGATATGGACAGATGTGGACAGATATGGACAGATGTGGACAGATGTGGACAGATGTGGACAGGTGTGGACAGATGTGGACAGGTGTGGACAGATGTGGACCGATGTGGACAGATGTGGACAGATGTGGACAGATGTGGACAGATGTGGACAGATATGGACAGATGTGGACAGATGTGGACAGATGTGGACAGATGTGGACAGATGTGGACAGATATGGACAGATATGGACAGATATGGACAGATGTGGACAGATGTGGACAGATGTGGACAGATATGGACAGATGTGGACAGATATGGACAGATGTGGACAGATGTGGACAGATATGGACAGATGTGGACAGATGTGGACAGATATGGACAGATATGGACAGATATGGACAGATGTGGACAGATGTGGACAGATGTGGACAGATATGGACAGATATGGACAGATATGGACAGATGTGGACAGATATGGACATATATGGACAGATGTGGACATATATGGGTGAAACCAAAGTGATCATGCAGAGGGACCATAGTGGCGTAAATGATTAAGAGCTGACTCATATTTGTCTTTTTCTCTGCCGTTCTGAGGCGCTTTCCTTGGACTGAGCTGTGGGACAGATGTTCTGAGGCAGATGGGAGGGGGGAAATCTACCGGATCTGGATCTGCACGGGGTCTGGTTCTGGAGCACAGCTGGGATTCTGCTGCCCTGAACTGGATCCTAATGCAGACTCAGAGACGTTGATGCTCTTCTCCTGTCTTCCTTTGATCAGCTGCTAACTGGACCGGCTCCAGAACCAGAACCGGGTTTCGGGTGATAAAGGGTTAAACACCCCTTCCTCAGTAGACATGTAAAGCTGCTCTGTGCGTTTGGGGGATGATGTCATTGTTTGTAGTCCACCATAGAAGAAGATGGCCGCCGCCTTCATCCCCAGCATCAGTCTGAGCTGCAGGTAGGATGAACGGAACCGGCCGGACCTCAGATTGGACCGGGCTCTGAGCAATGGACCAGAACCTCGGAGGAACCCGGGAGCTCCGCTGCAACCAGAACCAGAGAGGAGGAGCAGGTGCGCTCCAGAAATGAGGAGGAGAGCGAACCGAACCGGTACAACCCGGAGATAAAGGCTTAGGATGATGGCAGCCAAGTCCGACGGGGTTCTGAAGATGAAGAGGAGCGACGTGGCCTTCACCCCGCTGCAGAACTCCGAACACACCGGTTCGGTGCAGGGGCTCCATCTGGGGGAGCAGAGCGGCTCCGCCTGCGCTCTGGACCGGGGAGGTTCCACCTCCAGCTGCCTGCTGGACCGAACCCAGCAGAACTCGCTGATCTGGGACTGTCTGTGGGTCATCGCTGCAGTCACGGTCTACGTGGCGGACGTGGGAACCGACGTGTGGCTGTCGGTGGACTACTACCTCCGCCAGCAGTACTGGTGGTTCGGCCTGACGCTGTTCTTCGTGGTTCTGGGTTCGTTTTCGGTCCAGCTGTTCAGCTTCAGGTGGTTCGTCACGGACTTCAGTACCGAGGACAGCTCCGAACCCTCCGGTGGCTGCGCCCAGGCGGACGGGAGCAAGCTGCTGCTGAGCGGGTCGGCCTCGCAGGGAGAGGTTCCGATCCAAACCCAGAGGCAGAGCTCCACAGCCAGCAGGAACACCGCCACCAACAGTACCGGGAGCTCGGTACCGGGCCGGACCCGCAGAACCCGCTCCGGCTCCTACTCGGTGTGCGTCTGGCTGAGCCAGTCCGTCCTCCACATCCTCCAACTGGGCCACGTGTGGAGGTAGGACCAGAACCCGGCCGGACCGGAACCCAGACAGCAGAATACGATCAGCCGGTTCCGTTCGATTCGGTTTCAGTCAGCCAGGATTTTAGTTCACTTTGATCGAGCTGCCAGGAAGGTCCATTTGGACCCGAGGGAACCAAAACCAGACCAGTACCAGAACTAGAAAAATACCAGAACCAGAGCAGTGTTAATGAGGCATGTTATTATGGGATTTCATGGAGCAAACAGAACCTCTCTCTTAGTTCTGCTCAGAACCTTTGCCTGGAACCAGGGGTCCTCTGGGAGGGGGTTCTGGGGGGGCCGAGCCCCTGAGCCCTGGATTCACTCCCTGATCTGTTTTCTGTAGTTTTACCGTCTGTTCTGGTTGTTGAGGACTGCTGGCTGAGTCTCCTTTGGTCCTGAAACAAGGCAGGAGGTCTTCCACATCCCTGGAAGTGTCTCCAGGGTCAGACTGAGGGGGAGGAGGTCTGTAGAATCCCACAGAGCTGCTCTGCTCAGGCCTTCAGGACTCTGACACCATCAGGATGTCCTCTTCATGCAGAGCATCCCAGCCTGTTGCCTCAAAACAACCTTGCAGGGTTTCTTCAGCTTCCTGTGACCATCTCTTGGTTGCCAAACAAGTGTGCGACCACTTACACTTGAAGAGTTTCAGTCTGGCTTTAGAGCTCATCATAGCACTGAAACAGCTCTGGTGAAAGTCACTAATGATATTCTCATGGCCTCAGATAATGGACTTGTATCTGTGCTCGTCCTGTTGGATCTCAGTGCTGCATTTGATACAGTTGATCAGAATATTCTTTTAGAAAGACTTGAATATTTTGTTGGAATTAAAGGAACAGCACTAGACTGGTTTAAATCTGATCTATCTGATCGAATTCAGTTTGTTCACGTTAATGACAGATCTTCCTCATGCTCAAAGGTTACCTGTGGAGTACCACAGGGATCAGTGCTAGGACCAATTCTCTTTACTTTATACATGCTCCCAATTGGTAGAATTATTAGACAGCATGGGATTAATTTCCACTGTTATGCTGATGATACCCAGCTATATCTGTCTATAATCCAGATGAAGCTAACCCATTACATAGATTACAGGCATGTCTTGAAGACATAAAAACCTGGATGACTCTTAACTTTCTGCTCCTGAATGCAGACAAAACAGAAGTTATAGTCTTTGGACCAGAGTCTCTGAAAAAGAAGCTGATTAGCCAGTCACTTCATTTGGATGGGATTAAACTGATTTCAGATAATAAAGTAAAAAATCTTGGTGTTGTTTTTGATCAGGACCTGTCATTTAAATCCCATATCAAAGAGGTTTCTAGAATTTCCTTCGATGGGAATTCTCTCTTACTTTTTAGATGCAGTTGGACACTTTTACAAATGTCCCTATTTCCTGGACAGGTCTTTATCCATCCAGTTAAAGTTGTAGATCCTGCTTGTTCTGATGATTTGATTGTTCTGTTCTTTCTTGGTTGTTTGTCTTCATTAATCGGCGTTTTTCTGGAGTTATCTGCTCACTCTGATCAGGTTGGACTTAAATGAAATTCTGTTGTTGCATGTCAACGTCTGCACCAGTATTCGACGCAGCGTCAATAGTGAACCCGTCTGCTTTGTCACAGTTTCATCCTTTAATTTCATTTCTTTTTTGATGTACTAACAGCGTATGTATCGTGGAATTAGAGGGACATGTTTCAGTCCATATTTAGCCAGATTGGGAGATTTTCCTCATAGCAGAACACTTGGGATGTTTGTATTTTCAGTGGGAGCTGGCAGGTGAGGTTAGCTCTGAAGGAATGGGTGGATGGATGCTACGTTTGGGTGTGTCGCTGAGCTGATTTTAGGGCTGAGTCTTTCTGCTTTTTCTTCTCCGATGTCTTTAGGTGTTTTCGGACCATGTACCTGGGAATACGCAGCCATCAGAGCTCTAAGACGGAGCGCTGGCGGTACCACTGGAGGATGGTGTATGAATTTGCAGATGTGAGCATGTTGCATTTGCTTGCCACGTTTCTGGAAAGCGCCCCACAGCTGGTGCTGCAGCTGTGCATCATCATACAGACGCACAGCCTGCAGGCCGTTCAAGGTAACACGCCCTTTCTCTCACCTGCTTTATTCTGGGACGTTTTCATTCTTTTTTAATGCCAATTTTATAATATTAAGATAACATTTTCTTATCAGATAAAATGATCTCAGGAAAAATGCAGTTACAGTAAATTATCTAAAAATCATTTAATTTTATTACAAACTTCTACAGTTCAAATGAATATAGGAGAATTATTAGAGGCACTAATCCGATGCTTGGATCGGATGAATGATGCTGATGCAGCCATAACCTTCCACCAGTTCGCCAGCGACCCGTTTGATATGTTTCCACCTAACAACTTGGAACTCATGAAAACAGTTAAACTTTTACCAATATAGATGTCAGACATGCTTAGAAAGTTTAGCACCAAAGCACAATGAACACAGATATAGCAGGATGGGAAAACAAAGGAGCTGCAACAACATACCTGAAGGCATCCAGAAGCCGTTTTATAAATAAAATCTTCAATTGACTCCATTCGTCCATAAGGCTCCATAGATTAAAATCAATCCAGCATCTGTTTTTTAACATCAGAAAAGTTTGCTGGTTGTAGCTAATGCTTAGCATCTTGCTAATAAGACTTTCCTCCAAAAACGTTTGCCTTTGATGTTTGGTTTGTTTGTTTTCATCACCTTCCCGCTTACAAAAAAAAAGTGTCTCCATCTTCTTAAGTTTAGCTCTGACTCAGGGACAGCCCTCCAAGTATCTCAAGCGCTCCTTGTCAGTCAACCAATTACGCGCCGAGTAGCGTTAGGGTTACCGATTAGTCCTGCTCTTATCGGTTCAGACCGCATGCCCTGTTTGGCTTTGTAGCCAAGAAATAAGGTTTCAAACAAGCATAAACTAAACAGATCCCAGAGCTATTTTATTTTTCTACCTAAAAAATGAAATATTTTCATGTACCCCTGCAATGCACTGGCGGACCACCAGGGGTCTGCGTAGCCCCTGTTGCTGTAGAGTGAGATCTGCTTGAACTATTGTCTTGAACTCAGGTGGATGCATGAATCGCCGCTCCCTCCGTTTGTGATCATTTGTCAAAGTTTTGTTAAATTTGTAAAAAGTTTCTGTCATCATCGAGTTATTTTATTGTGTAAAAAGGAGAAAGAAAGTTAATCTCTTACCTCTAAGCTTTCAGCATATCAGCAATCATTTAGACCATAAACAGCTTTTTGCTTCTTAAAAGGATCATTTCCTGTCAGAGGTGTCGAGGCGTCCTGCTCCATCCTGAAGTCTTTGTTCCTGTTCCAGGCATGACGGCTGCGGCCTCCCTGGTCTCGCTTGCCTGGGCGTTAGCCTCCTACCAAAAGGCTCTACGAGAGTCTCGGGAGGACAAGAAGCCCCTAAGCTACCTGGCAGTCATCATCCAGTTGTGTTGGCACTTCTTCACCATTGCAGCGCGGGTCATCACTTTCGCCCTCTTTGCCTCGGTGTTTCAACTCTACTTTGGCATCTTCATCGTCCTGCACTGGTGCATCATGACCTTCTGGATCGTCCACTGCGAAACGGACTTCTGCATCAGCAAGTGGGAGGAGATTGTGTTTGATATGGTGGTGGGCATCATCTACATCTTTTCCTGGTTCAACGTCAAAGAGGGATGCACAAGGTAAAACTCTTCACCCTCCTCTTCCTCATTTTTAAATCCGTTCTCTTTATTTCAGTCCAACCAGACAGACTGCGATCTGATTGCAGTAGCTCCGTTTACAGGAGTCCGATCCGATCTTAATCTTGGTTGGTGGGAAATTTAAAATCTCTGTTTGCAGAACCGTCTAGTTTCCTGGATTCGCTTTAATAGTAGAAGAAGAAACTGCCCCTCCTCCTCAGCTTTAGCTTCTTCCCGCCGTACACATTTCTTCTTCTTCTTCGGTTCTCCATTCGTGTTTTTGGTCTCAGCTGTACCATATGCTAATGCTCCTTAGCTACAGGTAGAGGGCAGGAGGCAGGTGTCATAAAATGGGGCAAATGGACCCAGTATTCAAAGTGAGACAGCCAGTAGGTAAGTTTATTAAAACAAATACAGACAGAACAGAAACGCGCTGCTGTGGAACTGTGACCGCAGCGACTGCAGGTGCGGAGTGCAACCATCACTGAATATGTAAAGGGAAACACAGGTAAGTCACCACGATCATCTGAACAGAAGATGATGATTAGAGTGAGTCACCTACCTGGTTTAACAGGAGCGGACAGATCCAGGGTCCAGGAATCCATCAGAGCAGGAAGGAAATGCTGAAACGCTCTCACCACAGGATGGAAAATAACTCGCCTGAGGACACTGGCTTAAGAATAAACTCCTGACTGGAAAAGGGAGAAAACCCTGGAACTAAACTAAAATAAAAAAAAACTGACTGATTGGAGAAACAGAAATTAAACAGGGAAGAAATGAAGAAAAAAAAAAAACAATGATCGCCCCTGATAGCTGGAACTGAGCCCAATATAAGGGAAACCTGCAGCTGGATGAGATGAGTGATAATTTGGAGATGGAGAAAGTTAAGCAGGTAGAAGTCATGAGTAATTTAGGTGAGCTATCAGGGCAGATCATGACAGCAGGTTCATTACATTTAGAGTCTCCTCCTCCACCAAGGAGAACCACGAGCAAAGGATGAAGGTTGGGAAAGACCACCTCTCTAAACCGAAATGAAATAACTTTCCAACTGAACCAAACCAGATTAGAATCTTCAGTCTGACATGTTTACATGAAGCATGGAAACAAAGTCCAGAGGATTGTTTTTAACTTTGTTGGAATGACTATGACCTGGATGATTGACAATCTTCACCAATGAGATGGACAACATGTACAGTATTCTTCTGGCTTTGGAGGCGGGGCTGTCAGAGTTAAAATCCCGGCTTTGGGCTGTTAAACATCCAGGAGTTAGACCAGGCCCAGCTAGCTAACAGCTCACAGCCACCTAGTCCAGGGGCATGTCCATGAAGTCCCCTGGACGTAGAAGACTTATTCCTAGATCCTGCCCACCGATTACCACCAACTATTCTGTGTTTTTTACTGGCTTTCCCTCCTCAGTGACACATCCATCGAGAAGCCAACCCAGTGATCGGCAGCTCCACTGTCAGAAACATCAAATCCTCCCTGAAACTGTGTCCGGATCAGGTTAAATGCAGTAAGATTGTTATTCACGCTGGCGGTATTCACACCCAGTTACGCCGATCGGAGGTCACTAAAATTAGTATTGCTGTTTGTAAGCAGAATGTTGTAATCCGTAATTTTCTCCGTCCCCAGATTGTGTAGAGTTCCTGTAGATGTGTAGAATGCCATTTTCTCTACAGTTTCTTAGCGTTATGCTTACAAGTTCTTTTTTTTAAGTGGCTACATTGTCTAAAGTAACAAACAGAGAAGTAGTAACCCCATCAACAACATTGTTAATTTGTGAAAGGGAAGGATTTAAATGGTTGGCCCTACAGGGTTTTTCAGTGATACAGAGGAGATAAAAAGTGGAACAGATTCTCTGACATTTATTACTGCATTATCCAATAGTGGTCAGAGAGGACAGGGCTGTGAGGAAATACTAATTTTCTTCACATCAGTACCATATGTAAGCACAAGATCCAAAGTATGAAGATGAGAATGAGTAGGACTACATCAATAATTAAGCTTTACTGATGAGTCAAAAGAATAGAAATAAGTTTACAGACCAAGAAGGCATTTCTGGAATGTTGTGCTTAATATCTATCCCACAATATATGAGGACATGCGTTTGTATTTCCTGGTTCGCTGTAACCTGTTCAGGGTGTTTTTGTATCTTCATCCACCAACCAGTGGCTCCATTGGAATGAAAAGCTAAGGTTTTGTTAGCCTCTAAATAAAAACGTTACTCCGAGTAAACTCAAACTGCTCCTCTAGCCAGTAAGTGATAGAAGAGTCACTCATCTCAAGTTAAACGCTAGATTGTTTTTAAATTATTCTCATGATTGCATCAATTTTGTAAACACCATCCAATTGAGTTGTTGCCCTTGTGTCTCATGTGTCTGTGCAGATATCGGCTTTCCATCTATTATCTGGTGGTCCTGGTGGAGAACACTACCCTGAGCGCGCTGTGGTTCCTTTACAGATCACATAAAACCACTGACGCCTTTGCAGTCCCAGCTCTGTGTGTGATCTTCAGCAGCTTCCTCACTGGTCTGGTGTTCATGCTCATGTACTATGCTTTTTTCCATCCTAATGGTGCTCGCTTTGGGCGCTCTGCCAGTGGCCAAGGGCTTGATCTGGATTCCACAGCCCAGTTCTCCACTCTACCCTGTGATGGTGCAACCAACTCCCTGCGCTCGAACCGAGGAGCCACTTCAACCTTAGAGCGAGAAACTGGGAAGTACTCGGAACGCGATAGCTGTATCCCAGTGTTTCAGGTCCGACACCCGGTGCCGTCTACGCCGTCTTCACGAGCTCCACGCCTGGATGAGACAGTGATCAAACTTGACCTTTGTAGGAACCAGTACCCGGCCTGGGAGCGTCACGTCCTGGACCGCAGCATCCGTAAAGCTATCTTGGGTCTAGACTGCTCACTTACACCCCCGCGTCTGATGTACAAGGACGATGCTACGGTGCATGAGCGGCTGGAGTACGAGACCACCTTGTAGTTTTCACTCTGCTGTGGAAGCAGGAGAACGGCACCATGGGGTCAATCTGAGGGTTTTTTCTGCAGAAATGGTTCAACTGAAAGCAAGAGCACAAAGTCCAGATCTGCTTGAAAAAAATGTCAGTGTTGAACACCGGGACGCACATTCATGGAGACTTTCCTTTTTCCAATACATGAGAAGAAATGACGACAGGATGGTAACAGGATGGAGTTATTGCTTTGTTAGTGCCAAAAAAACTTCTTGAAATCTCCTTTAGTAGAAAAAAAAAAGTAAGCAGCCATTAAAGTAGCACGTATGTCCAATCATTTCAGGATCTCTGGATAAAGCCGTGTAAAATGGACAGACGGCAATAAAAGGCAGAGGATAGAAAGAGGAGGCTGGCGTCTCAGTAGACGTCCGGATGTGTCGTTCTTGTCCTCAATATGAAGCATCATTTGGTTCAAAGAGGAGGTACTGATAAAAACAACCAGAGTCCTGCATCGGTTCATTCTGTCTCTGACGTGTGTTTGTTTTGATGACCCAGTCTATGTTTGTGTGTGACTGACTGGGTGCAGAAAAGCAGAGAGGTTCTGGTGCTGACTGCCTGTTGCATGCATGAATTTACTCTCTGTTGTCGCTTAGTGATGCTAATCCCAAACCGAAGCCAAGCAACTGGAAAAACATGTCTGATCGGATCATTTTTCCACAATTCAACAGGTTTTCTATTGGAAGCTGGACCTAAAAGTGCCATAGAACCCATAGATATCCAGATAGAACCCATAGATATCCAGATAGAACCCATAGATATCCAGATAGAACCCACAAATATCCAGATAGAACCCATAGATGTCTGGATAGAACCCTCACTGCGAGCAGGGACCTTCTTATGCAAAAACAGACTCTACGCTTCAGTAGCACAATGGTCTACAGTCGGTCTGTAGACAGTCTTTATATAGATTTTCAGCAGTAAAACAGTGAAGCTGGCAAAGCTGTTTAGATCCAACAAGAAGAGGCTTTACTGCGTCACCATCAGTTCACCATCAAAAACAGTGAAAGTTACATTTCATAACATTAGTTCAAAGCTTCTGTTGGAAATAATAAAGTTTGTGAAAATTCTGCAGATTTCGGTTTCTGTTCCCCGACTGAGACCCAGTGAGAGAAGCACAACTGGTTCATCATATTGTACAAAGATCCAGGACATGTTGTGTATTAGAAGTAATTACCTGTGAAAAGATGATGTTTAATAACAGAAATAGCATTTTTTTCTTCAAACGTGTAAAAATAAAATGTTTCTTTCAGGTTTTTAAAAAGTTAAGAAGATGTAACTGTTGTGAAATATTGTTTTCCTTCAAGACAGTGGCGGCTGGTGAAAAATATTTTTGGTGGGGCTGATATAGCCTAGTGTATGTCTCCATCTAATCCGGAATAAGAATTCAAATAAACAATTGGACAATACATACAATTTAACAGTAATGATTTAATTTACTATATAATAACAGTAACAGTGATGATTTGGGTCACTGTGACGGGGTTCTTTGGCCTCCAAGAATCCAGGCTCAGTCGGGTTACCGGTGTTGGTGATTTATTGTGCTCAAAAACTCAAAACAGGGTGCAAAAGAAACTAAACATGTACAAGATCCTCTGGGCCTCAGCCTCCCTCCAGTTACCAGCAATGTAACAAAGAAACAGAAAACAAAAATTGCCGCTTTTCTTCCCACAGCCCTCATTAAATAGTTTAAGCCCCTCACCTCAGGCTCTCTTATTTCTGATTTCTTCTCATTAATCAGTTTTGTCCATATATTACCTCCACAAACAATTGATGTACAAAAACAAATAATTTTTACAACTTAATTCTTTTACACAGATTCATTGACTTATTCAATTACACCAAACTGGGTTTGAACCCAGCAAAGACGCAGCCAGACTGAAGATGACAAGTCCCCGTAGCATAAACACGTACACCCCCCCCCCCCCCCCCACACACACACACACACGGCTAACCCCACTGAAATATTAAGTGTGCACCCTCAATACGCCAGCAGGTAACCAGGAACAGCTTGTGTGTTTTAAGTTCATGGAGCTACTGGTCTCAGCGCGAGCAGATTGGTCCTCACAAACACAGTATAACAGGAATGTGTGTGTGGCGCGCAAAGTTAGAGAGGTTGTTTTAAGCGACGAGGTGGATTCGTCACAGTCACAATAACCATGACATGAAATGTTCATATCCTACAACAGGGATGTTCTTCTGGCAAACGGGTAGATAAATAAGGATCTCACCGAATTTGGTGGAAGCTGCATCTCGTTCGTTACATTCGCCATCTTCCCTCTAACTGTCTGCACCTGCGCTTGGGTTCAGAAGCCTGTTAAAGCGCAGTATTTTCAGCGCCCCAAGACCATAAAGTTCCGAGACGCTGATTGGCCATTAAATTCACCTAGCAATAGTACATGATTGACAGATTCTCTGCAAATGTGGGTCAGTCTGATCAGCGCCCCCAGAACAGAGACGGTAGGAGTCTGTCTGTGGAAATCCACAAATTAATGACAGTAGATAGGGAAATGTAGTTTATATAATTTGTTTTGCTTATAGGTACACAGTCTAGAGAGTAAAACTGACATTTATGAGTTAATTTCTAAAAATATATTTTACGTTTCTCTCTTCTTATCAGGGGGGGCGGTGCCCCAGCGCCCCCTATGGGCCGGCCGCCACTGCTTCAAGAAAATAAAAACAATATTTGAAGCATCTAAAGATTCTGAATTATAATTGATATTGAAATAAAAAAACAACCAAGGGTGATTAAATTATATTTTTTCCAGAAGGTTCCCTCTAGAGTTCTGATCGGATTCCAGAATCCAGCCGACTCCTTTGGATCTGGATCTGACCTCTGCTCCTTTTTCTGAGGAGGAGGTGCAAACGTTTCTGCTTGAAGAGCTAAAAATCAAAGACTGAGAGATTTTAAACAGTTTTATTTTAATAACACTAGTGATGTTTTAGATGGCTGTCACACTTTGCTGCTGGGAGTCATTTTGAACAGGAGGTGCTGTGAAAATAGACCTATGAGCCTAGAGACTTATTAAAAATACATTAAATAAAAGCCGTATAAGAATCAGATCAGAATCAGACATACCTTAATAATCCCAGAGGGAAATTACTGTTGTTACATGCTCCAGTTACAGTTTTATATATATATATATATATATATATATATATATATATATATATATATATATATATATATATACGTATATCTATGCATATGTAAACACTTAATCCAAATAAAGTGATAAATCCAAATAAAGTCATACGTGGCGTGCAAAAATAGTGCATGAATGTCAGTTATGGGGGGGGGTGTCTGAATCACTTGAGGGAGGCGTTATAGAGGTTGATGACTGGGAGGAATCATTTCCTGTGGCGCTCTGTGGTGCGTCTGGGTAGGAGGAGCTGGTCTGCTGGACCCGTGTGTCACGGAGAGGATGTGAGTCTTTTGAAGGGTTCATCCTCGTCCCTTCAGTGCATTTCAGGTAGACTGTATCTCAACCTCTAGACATTGCTGATAACGGTCTCTCAGGTAAAGGTCCAACTCTTAGAATTAGCTGCAGTCAGTTGTTTATTCAGTGATCAGTCGGATGCTGGTTTAATCTTAGAAAAGATGGAGGATAGTATTCTGTGTCATCTGTTGAACCATTATTAAATGGTTGCTGCTTTGATGACTCTATGGAGCAGCGGCACCCGGGGAGCAGTGTGGGGTTAAGGGTCTTGCTCAGGGACCCAGGGGCCTAAACTCAGAACCTCTGGATTCCAAGCCCTAACCACTAGGCCAAACCCCCCCAATGATCCAGACTGAAATCTGGATCATCTGATTTTGGGCCCCCTGGTTGAAGGCCACTACTATTCTGATCAGGGCGCATCAGACGGTCTGCACCCTGTCTTTGCTATCTGGTCTGCATCCTGAGGTATCAGGGTTTTGGAGGACTAATAGATTTGGCCAGATTCCTCAGGTTTTCCCCAAACAGATGCCCTATTATGTGCAGCTCAGAAAAACAGGAGCCAGTATTTGAGGAGGAACCTCTGCAGGAGGAGACAACAGGGAACACGTCTATCTGGTGGACGATGATAACGAACCTGTGAGTCACTAACCTGGTCTTACAGTTCAGTCCGTGCCCAAAGGAAGAAGTTGGTTCCAGTCTGCTGCCAGCAGGATGTGGCGGGTGTCCCCCAGAGGTTGATAGCTCAGAGGTCGGTGGACAGGCAGGAGATCAGAACCGAGCAGCCGAAGGAAGGCAGGATAATGCAGACGGTCGAGCCAAGTTCGGACTCTGTAGTCAGAGCCAGGAGAAGAGGGGCCCAAAGAGATGCCGAAGGGAAATCCAGAACCGAGTCAGGATACAGTTCTAGGTTCGGCTCACAGACAGGTGGAGATCCAGGAGGAATCACAAAGACAGGTCAGGCAAACAGATCAGAACAGGAACAGGCAAGTCCAGAGGTCCAGAGGTCCAGAGGCCGAAGGGGTCAGGATCAGGCAACCAGAAACACTCAACTACTTTAGACTTAGACAAACTTTATTGTCACAGAGCGACACACAGAGTACAAAACGAAACTTCATTCAGCTTTCAAGACATTTCTTTTTTAAAGTGCAGCAGTGATAAAAATATAAACATGGTCATCAAATGTAAACACAAGACTGCGATATGATGTAGAGTTTTTCGGAAAAAAAATTTCCCCCCATTTTATCCATCAGTTGATCAGTGTGATGGCGGTGGGGAAGAAGCTGCTGCAGAACCTGCTGGTCCTGCATTGGATGGGGGGGGGGCAGGTGGGGGGTTTATGGTCTTTCTCAGGGACCCAGAGTGGCAGTCTGGGGGAGTGGGGGATCGAACTCACACCTCTACAGGTATGCCTCTCACCACAGGCTTAAATAATCTAGCACTGATAACTGGTTGAAGGCGTGTTAAATAGAGTGTGAAGCAGGTGGAGAAGATGAACGGTAATGAGAACTGGGCGGAGCTAAGCAGGGGGTGTGACCCTACTGGTGTCTCTAATGCCCGTTTCTATGGAGCTGCTAATTCCAGGGTGGAAAAAAAACAGGTTGATGAGTTTAAGGTTATTTTTCCCAATCAGACAAACAGCTTCATTAAATAATTAGCAGGTTGCTAATTAGCTTTATTAGGTTAGAATTAATTTAATTAATAACTTTGATTTCACTGACTGACCAGAGATCATTGCTCAGATCTTCACAGTCTGCTCTAGAAACAACTTTTCTAACTTATTTAGCTGCGCCA